TAAATATTACAAGTACAATTGATAAATAAATGTTACATCACAACTAAAGAAGTCACAGCCCGGCCCAATTGGGTCAAGTTCCAACGTCAACTACGGTCAAAATTCAGAGTCCAACCTAGTCAACTTGGATTAACAGAAGACAAAACCAATACAATCACCCAATAAGCTCCAACTGACCCAGCCCGGTCTAACCCAAAGCCACAACCAATAATGTAATAAACTTGCTCCCCAAGCCAGTTTGCTATAAAATGAACCTTCGGCCCTTGCAAAGATGGGGGGAGCGGGACTTCTTTGCTTTCTGCTTCTTCATCCTTCCTCTCCAGGACAAACAAAAATGAGGGACTCGGTTGTCTCCTTCTTCCACTTCTTCTTCCTCCTGGAGACACTTCCCTTCCTCTCGAAAAACAAAAAAAGGAGACTTGCTTCTTCTCCCGATGGTTCCACTCTAACCTGCTATTCCCGCTTCCTCAATCACAGAAAGAACACTAGGGGATCCTTTTCCCTTTCCTCTTTGCTTAGAAAAGAGACAAACACACCCAGAGAAGCCACAAACAGACAGACAAAGAAAAGAAACTCTTTTCCACTTCTATTCTTCTTCTTAGCCGACACACAGCTCCACTTCCTCAAACACAGAGACAGAAGGACATTGAAAAGGTAAAAAAAAAGCAGAGTATCTCTTCTTCTATACGGCCTCTCTTCTTCCTATTCCCTGCTTCTCATCTCCTTCCTAAACACCATCACAATGCCAAGACCAAACGCAAAGGAAAAAAAGGAGCAGCCAAAGGCAGAAGCAAACCCCCAGAAAACGTGGAAGGCAGAGTCACCCTCCACCAAACAACGAGGAAAAGGTTGGTAATCACCATAATCATACTACAAATCATAATCATTCATGACCATCATCTATTTATACATTTTTTTAAGACAATCTCGATAAACACTGAAACAAACTGAAATATGGAACGTTCACTACAATTAATATTTTCATTCACAAAAGCAGCAAACTAATCAGTTTTGTTACTTTCTGTTTATATCCATTACAACGTTTATCATTATAGCATAGCTATGTTTCAGCATGATAGAAGTAAGAATTAGATGTGTTATTCAATCTTTTCTTTCTTTGTTTCCGCTTGTCTTAGCATCCCACCACTTATATAACCGAATTAACATCAAAATCATTAATCTAAAACATATTTGATTAGCTTAATCACAAGACTATTGACTCAAACTGTTGGAGGTTTTTTTTTCTTCTTTTGTTATAAAAACCTTATTTTTTATCAAGAACTTTCCCCCTAATCTAAACCCCCTTCAAACCCATAAAACTACAAAACTCCCAATAATCAAACCATCAGATTTTCTCGAGCATTAGATCTGATTCTTTTCAAGGTTTACCCAAAAAAGACATCAAATCAATACATTAGCTAAGGCCCTCTAACAAGGGTAGGAATCCCATAATTCATAAAACAGGCTTATAAACCCCACATAATGCTATAAAACTCGGATTGATGAACTTCAAAAAATCACATTTTATCATTTAATTATCAAAAACACTAATTTAAACTTGATTTAAAACGTCAAAACAATGAAATCATAACTCTAATTGCTGATTAAAATTTAAACCAAACAATCAGATAAAAAAGAAGGCAAAAACCCCAGAATTACCGTCGGGCCGGGGTTTCTCCTGTTTCGTCATCGCTGACGAGGGTTCCTCCGTCGGCGGCGGCTCCCCTTCCTCTCGCATCCACTCGATCTGACCCAAAATCAAACACAGTAAAAAATATCAGAACCCTAAAATTACCCTAAAAACGAAATCGAACCTCAGAAACCGACATGCAGAAAAAAACCTACCTTTGAGCTTCTTCTTCGCCGCAGTCACAATCATCGCCGGCGTCGGGGAAAACCATTCTCATCGCCGTCGTTTGGGTAAAGGAGGGTTCGCTGCCTCTCTTGGCCTCTCGCCGATTCCAAAAAGAGAGAGAGGCGAAGGGGATATGTAACTTTCGTTTAGGTTTTTGTTCGATTTTTGGATTCGGGAGATGGGAAGTCGGGCTCGAGAGAGGGAAGGAGACTGGAGACGATTGAAAGAGCTAGGGTTTCTGTTCTCTTCTTCTTTTCGTTTTTCTGGGTCGTGTTTATGGAGAAGATTGAAAGAGATGAATAGGCAAGGGAGAATGAGAGGGAGAGTGAGGTGAGAGACGGCCGTTCGTTTGGAATGGATTAGGATTAGGAATTTCTTGTTAAAAACAAATATATACCTCGACAGGCTAGATAACAATTTTACCCCTATGGTTATCAAGATTTTACGTGGCCTTGCCACCGCGTTTTTGTTCATTTACCAAAGTACCCTCGTTTTGATCTCTGCTAAAAAACGAAATTGGCTAAAAAAAGCACTCTTTGGTTTCGAACCAGAGACTTCAGCCTCGTTATTGGCCAAAATCAGGCATTTAACCAGTAGGTTAATCGTTAATTATATGTATGCATATTAACTACTCGTGATTTAATATAAACTTTAAACCCTCAATATGCAAACTTAAATCAAACAAAACAAGTTCTCTAATTTATCTCGCTTAAAGATTATTCTAAAAACTGTTAAAAATCCCTAATATCAAAGTATTTAACCTTCTTTTTTGAAAGATGATTGATCACAATTTTACTTTGTTTGGAGATCCTTAATACGAAATACCAAGGTCGATAGACTATAGTAATTTTTCTCGTATCAAATCTCCTTCCAAGCCAATACTTCCAAATCCAAATTTCAAAAGATTAAAACAAACAACAAACTCAAAAAATAAACAAACTTTGTTAATCGAACTACGTGGACTTTGATCTCGGTTAACCCGGGTACGTAGGCAGCCGATAGGTTCGAGTCCAACCAATCTAAAAAAAACTTTTTACGTCAATAGACGTGAAAACCGGTAACTTTAAATTCAAGTTTACACCAATCACATCGTCCTATGGGACTTTAAAATTTACATTAAAAAAAACAATTAATACTACAACTAATTACACAAACAAATCCCAATTAATATTACATCCAACCTCTAAAAAACTTATCGATTTGTGTAGTACCCATTATGGGGCGTTGTGGGGTGTGAATACACTTCCCCACACGTAACCGTACTCCCGAACTTAGAAAAATCTAAATTCGCAGACCAGAATTCTGGTTTTAACAAAAAATTAAAACCGGAAAATGGTGTTCGACCCACCCCAAAGCACGGTCGATGGCGACTCCGAGCGTGTCGCGACAGATCCCCCGATCGCGAGGGGGCGGTTGCGACACAATGGACAAGGCGAGAATCTCGGGGTATATTTCTTTGCACAAGAATAATCCATTTCTGAAACGAGAAAACTTGGAAAAATGTGATTATGTAAGTGTCTTCAACTCCTGAATATTTTTCTGACTTTCCTTGATATTGGTCTGGGTTTATAGGATATTTTGTTGTTCTTTGTCGGATATTATTCTGGGTTGTTGAGATATTAATCTGGGTTGTTGAGATATTAATCTGGGTTGTTAGGATATTAGACACTGATTAACTCACTAACTGTATTGTGTTTCAGATCTTCTTTCCAATGTTTCGAGATGATCACTACCGAGTATATGTGGCTGACATGAAGAATAGGAAGACTTTCCTACTGGACAGCCAAAAGCCCAATGCCACTCGGGCTAAGAGGGATCATGGGCCAATGGGGAAAGTTATTTTTGAGTATGTGTCAGAGTTCTTCAAAGAGCAAGGGGTCGACTGTAAATTGGATGAGTGGGAATTCAGCATTGCTGACGTTCCTCAACAATTTGGCAACGATGATTGCGGTGTATTCGCTTGCCTTTACATGGAGCTATGGGCGGGTCACCTTCCGGTGGAATGTAAAAACAGTTGGCACAAGCAGGAACATGTGGAGGAACAACGAACACGGATTGCAGCTAACCTCCTGTTATGGAACATTAACGGCCACAAGGATGCAATAATTCAAAAAGCAAAAGATTGGAGTATGCAGAAAGAGAAAGGGGAAAAGAAGGCAAAGTAGGAGAGGATGATGGTTTGCATTAGGATGTGTATTATTTTGGTAGATATTGACATGTGAATCCAGGATACGTTTTTGTGCTGCAGTAGATATTAAATCCACTTGTTATGGATATTTGTTTTTATCAGCTTGATATCTGTTGTTATTTGCCTGGATAATTGTTCGATATAGCTAGATATTGATATGTGAACAGCATGATATCGGTTGTGACTTTCCTGGATAATTGTTTTATATATTTGGATATTGGTTCTTTACCAGCATGATATCTGTTGTGAATTGCTTGGATAATCTTTTGATATATCTGGATATTGTTTTGTGATCAACATGATATTAGTTGTGGCTTTCCTGGATAATTGTTTGATACACTTGATGAATATCCTATGGACCCATACAAATATCCTAAATATCCAGATGAATATCCTAAATACCCAGACAAATATCACATGAGTACAGTAACCAAAAAGGTCACATGTGAATAGTGAAATAAGTAATCATTGGAACAATTGTACCTGCATTGAAAATACAAATATCCAGGAAGCCCAGACTAATATCTGTAATATATCGAGTGCATATCAAGTTTGCCCAGAAAAGTATCCCTCACAAGTGGATACTCTACATAAATAGACCACTTGTAAAGGATACTATCCTTTAATGTCATATCACAATAGACCACTCTCGAACCTTCCTACATTCTATACATAAATATCCAGGAAGCCCAGACCTATATCTGTACAAAATAGAGTGCATATCAAGTTTGCACTGACAAGTATCCACTACAAGTGGATTAATATCCACTTTTATACAAAAACTTTTCCTGGAATCACTTGTCAATATCATATCAAAATAGACCACTCTCGAACCTCCCTACATTATATTCATAACCATTGAGCAATATTATCATCCAAATCACTAATATGGTCATCCGGTTGAGTATTGTTGTCCGGCATGACCACTTCAGCTGATTTCATTCTCTTCTTATAGACACGTTTCTTTCGACGGCGTTCTTTTTCATTGATAGACTTATAACGTTCCTTACCTTGGCTCCTTGGATTACTCTTCTTCTTCAAAGTCAGCCCAGTTATCGGTACATTCCGTCCTACAATGGTTGAGAATTTAGTAAATGCAATGATATTAAACTCTAACAATTTACAAATGATATTAGTGTATATACTTACTGTCCTCGCTAGTAATAGTCTTTGACAATGCCTTGTTTGCCTGATTGCACAATTTCGTGATTACTCCCATCCACTTGTTGTAGTCCTTCTCATCGGCCATCGACATGTTCGTTGCTAGCTGATTCAACATTGCAGTGGTTTCTCGGTACCGCATTGCTATATCTTTACCGGCATCATTCTCACTAGAAGCTGAAGGACCAACAGAACCATCGACATCAACAACCTCTTTCTTTCTCGCCTCCAACGTCCATCGCTTGAGTATGTAATGATCTGGAACACTTCTCATACTAGCTTCCCCAAAATCTCCAAGAAGCCGCATCACCTTAATCATGTGGCGACATAACACTCCGAAAGTTCTGAACATTCTGCATTCGCATACCAATGTCCTCGTAGAAATATCGACGAGAACGACAGGCTCATCACTACGCTCACCATCCTCTATCATATATGTGCGGTAGCCAATCATGCCATCATCCCTAGTATCCGAGAGCGTCTCCATTATATATTTTTCAGTTGTCAAATACTCCTTCTGTATCCGATTGAAGATGTTAGGAGTAAAGACCTTTGCCGCATGTTGTAGGATCGGGCTATCCTCCAACATAATATAAGGAACCGATTGTTTCGCACTGTAGTCTGACTGAGTCTCCTTGCGTCTTTTTTCAGCCAACAAACTACATTTACAAAGCACGAGAAAGAATTTAGTGCCCAGACTAATACCCACTCAAACCAATACTAATATCCCAGATGCACAAACAAATATCGTTCCAATGGCATATAAATATCCGGACGAAGCTTAAAAATATCCAAAGCTTAAGTACACTAATATCAAAGAAAGGCAAAGAAATATTCTGCATACCTGCTAAAGTGAATGAAAAACAAGTCCAAATCATGCTTCGGTTTCAAGAAACGTCGCACTTGTGCATTGCACGACTCGCTTATTTGCGTAGTCAACATCCCGGCTGTGAATTGATCTCTCAACCATAAGGAACACCATCGACGACGAAATTTCTTCAAATATTCCAACCATGGGTGACCGTCCGCAATTTCGCTATTAGGGAAACAATCAGCAACCATTGTGCTCCAGGCCATGTCGAACTCTCTCTCACTGTCGATGTCGTAGAAAATATAAGAAATATGAGTTTGGAACTTCTTCCAAAATGCCTTGTCCTTAGAAAGATGCTTCTTCGCATTCATGAGGATGTGCCAAGTACAGAGGGCATGAAACACAGTAGGCCACTCCTTTCTAAGGGCAGCTGCCATGGCAGCGTCCTGATCAGTAAAAAGAGTGATTGGGAGCTTCTTCTTCATGCACCGACTAAATGCTAAAAACAACCATTCAAAAGACGGTGTAGTCTCATCATACATCAAACAAGCACCAAACACACAAGTTTGACGATGGTGATTGAAACCTACAAACATCCCTGCAAAAGACAACTATTAATGACAATGCATAACCGAACGAGTGTTGAAAAAACTTAAGGGAATTAGGAATTGATATTGTCCCAACACATGTCAACAAATATCTGTAATACCCAGACTAATATCTAATAATGTCATACTAATATTCGTCCTTACACAAAAACATATCCTGTCAGGCCATGTCAATATCGGATCACAAGAGACCACTCTTGAACCACCCTACATTCTATTCAATACTATTTCTGTAATATACGTATAAACATCCATGCACAAGACAACTATTACTCACAATCCATAACCGAACGAGTGTCGAAAGAAATCAAGGCAATTAAGTGATTCACGTACCTAGTGGACGGAAGTATTTATTGGTTCGGAAGGTGGTATCAAAGGAGACCGAATCTCCAAAAAGAGCATAATCTTCACGCATCCTACTGTCCGCCCAAAAAATATTAGCAACTTTCTCCTCGCAATCTACCTCTACAGCATAAAAGAAGTCAGGATGCTTTTCCTTTTGGTCCTCAAAGTAGTCAAGCAAATAAGTCGCTTCGCCACGAGCCATTTTCCTTTGCCTTTTGGTGTTCAAGTGGTTCTTCTGATCAGATTTGGAAAATTTCAGATTTTGATAGCCACCAGCACAGTCAGCCAATAACTGATACGATGCACTAAGACTCATCCCGGCATCCCGATTAGCTTCGGCCATCTTTTTCTGAGCATCACTCATGCACTTGTTGGACTTGATAAGGTGCGTATGCTCGGTGGAGTGCAAATCATGATTGTGGCCTCCCACGAATTCATACACCACATATCCATCTCTAGATTCATCCCATCGAAAACGAACACGGGCACTACATCCAACCCTAACTCGAGGCCTCTTTCTTTTAGGACGCTTTCTCTCCACAACTTTGTCTTCGGACTGTTTTTGTTTCTCCACATCTACTTCGCTAGTGGAAGTCCAACCTTGCTTATTACAAAAGTAATAAAGGTAGAAATAAATTTTCTCCACCTCTCCATTAGAATTCTTCATTTTTTTTTTTTTTTGGTGTTGAGCACCATTTCGAACACCAAAACCCTTTTCGTGAGCATAGCGTTTATAGAAAGCCAAACACTCTTCCTTAGTCCGATAAAATATGTTCTTCCTCGTTTCCTCATCTTCTAGGTCCGATGTCTTGTGAGCTGCGATTTAATTGTATGAGGCCATGTTAGTATCCACATTAAACTTGCCCAGACAATTACCCAACATGCTCACAATAGTATCAAATAAACGTCTAAATCATACCCATAAACAGACTGAATTCTTAGGCTTCAACAAGTATCCAACCTTTAATTACATTGTATCCTTTTGTTCCATAAACGTATCAGTAGCCTCCACCAAAATATCCAATATACCCAGAATAATATTTAACCTATCACTAAACATATCCATGATACTCTAAAGAATATCCATACCCAAAAACCAAAAAAAATATCAACCATTTTCATCACGTCCATATTAATATCCAACATGCACAGGTAAATATCTTAGATGGTTTTACAATGTATCCATGACAACAACAAATAATATCCACATCCAAAAACCCAATGAAACAGGAGGTTTACACCCAAAATAATATCAACACCATTAAATAACATTCAATGCACACAACAAAACTCAACAACACAAACATATATATAATAGAATCCACCTTCACTTTCTTCTTCTTCTTCTTCTTCTTCTTCTTCTTCTTCTTCTTCTTCTACAATGAAGTCACCAACACCATCTGAGTCTTCATCAACAAATTCATCTATTGTAGGATCGAGTTCTTCTTCTTCTACAATGAAGGCAGCCACACCGTCCAACTCGCCATCGTCGTCGAAAATCATCCTTTCTCCAGATGATCTGCTCGCTGGAAGGAGAGGGTCGCCGGAAGGATCTGCTCGCCGGAAGGAGAGGGTCGCCGGAAGGAGAGTCTCGCCGGAAGGAGAGGCTCGCCGGCAAGAAGAGAGAGGACGGCAAGGTTGAGCGGCAGCGAGTAAAGGAAAAACGGAGAGAGAGAGGAAAAAGTGGAAGTGGTGGTTGAGATGATCATAAATGCCACCTTCCCCTTTTGTTCAACAAATATCCAACTTTCCTCATCCTTTTTCAGCAAACCCCCGCCCAAAATTGCCTTCACCAAAGAAAAATGGGCCGAAAATTAATTTGATGTGCCTTCGGCCCATGGGCCCTCGACGGGCGGCCCTTACTAGGCTGCAAGCCCACCCCGAATTATTCCACTCTTCTCCCACTTTCCCGCCCAAAATTTCGGTTGCCCCAAAAATAAACCCACCTCCCGCCCAGCTCGCCCAAACCCGCCCACTTCCTCCGCCCAAAACTTCGGCCGCCCAAAACCCGCTCAAAAAAGCGCCAGGCCTTCTCTCCCTCTCTCCTCTCGGTTCATGGGTCAGTGAGTATCTACTCACACTTTGACCTGTGAGCAGTTTAACTTTTTCGTAAATTACGGGTCACAATTATTTCAACTTGTTAGTAAACAAATTCCGGATGAGTCAAATTGATACGAAAACACACCCAACCAGCTCACCCTAGCGATCGGATTCGCGGATTAGCAAAAGCCATGAGGCAATTACTCAGCATCCCGCTCAAAACCCGCCATCCTCTTCTCCTCCAGCGGTAATCCAAGCTTCCATCGATCGAAATCCACCAGCAACTTCAAATTCCGGAACCCGAGTCTCGGCCTCCCCAATCCCCGTGACCGCCAACCAACGCCGGATTCCGCCGCCAGGAAATCCTGATTCGTCCCCAGGAACGAGTTCCAACTAACACAATCGATGAGTGTTACACTAGTGACTAAAGAAGGCAAGTTTTCCGGCGGCTGGGGGTGATTGGGAAAACTTCAATCGCATGCTACAACTTTGTAACTTCCCTTCCTTTAAGCCTTCCATGTTCTCTCTTCAGTCTTCACTACCTATTGGTATGCCTATATGTGCTAACTAAACGAAGATCATGTTTCCTATACTAGTTGATTTCTCTGCAGAAAGGAGAAAGAGAAGCCGAGGAGGAATCACGCTAATGAGCACTCAATTCTAGCTGATTTCACAATTGCTTGGTAAGCGCCGAATCTGGTGTTTATGTTTCTTTGCTGATATGTTTGTGTCTAGATGTACTGCCTAGCATATGATTTAATGCTGCAAGTGCCTGGTGGGTTGATCAGACTCAGAAGAGGAACTCCATGTATAGCAGCAAAAGTAATGGTGTGGTGCCTACAGAGGGCATGCTGTTGTAAGCTTCCAAGGTCCTTACTTTGACAACTGCCCCTGATCCTTGCCAAAAATTCTTAAAATCCATTGAATTGGTTAAACCTTTTGATAATCATGTAATCTTCTGCAGCCGGATTGCAGTTGCATAGCGGAGTGTACTAAGGATGACTTGATCAAACTACTGACGTAGTTGGTTGCAATGCTGTCATGATGAATAGAGTATCTTGATTTGATCAAACTGCTGAGAATGTTGACGATGATGATATGAAGTAAGATCTCGATGCTACCTTCACTTGTTTTAGCAGTTAATTGTTGTGCCATGATATGCTTTTCAGTACTACATCCAAGTTAGGAGATGGAAATGATACTTCCGGAGTTTGAAGGGTACAGTATGCATAATGTTTCTTATGCCAACTAATTTTATAAAGTCCCGTGGCTTGCTGATCTGATGGTTGCATGAGTTTCTAGACTTTCAAATAGCTTGAATTCCTGATGTAAAGTCTTTGAATGCATCCAGTAGCTGTGTTCGAGGAAAACAGCAGTAAATTGTGATGGGAATGGGATACTTTAACTTATTAGTTACTGAATCAGGAGTAAGCTTTGCTACCTATTACTTATTGAACCTTAACATTGAACATATACCACTACTTCTAATCTTAATATGTTGTAGCAAACTAAGAAAGTTTGTTATCTGCCATGGGTATGACTGTCTGTACTCCTAATACGTTCTTAATATCTCCCAGGATCCTGTCCCTAGTTACACACAACTCTTGTACAACAAAGCTAATCCCAGGCCGATGCCAAGGTAATTCCGCTGAACAAACGACTCCAATTCTAACAATTGAAGCCAAACACTTGTTCAGTGAACCTCCTGAACTTGTTTCCTTTTCCAGGAGAAGCGGGTCTACAATATCCATAACCCCGTCTGCAGGAAAGCCCAACTTAGAATCCGCCAGGCTGTGTAGGCTCATCCCATCTTTGAACATTGTATCGGTAGGGCTCTTCCCTGTGAACATCTCCAACAGGAGGATTCCATAGCTGTAAACGTCGCCGTAAGTTGATGCATCGCTCCCCATCCCATACTCTGCATCAACCACATTGAATGTTTTGTGAGTGGGTTTTCTTTCTTCTTTCCAGTAGGCTATAAAGTATAGCTCAAAGTATGGGTTTCATAGAAGAAAAAGACAGAAAGAGTCGAGAGCTAGCTAAATACCTGGAGGAGCATAGCCAATGGTTCCCCTGACTCCAACAGAGCTGGATTGATTTGCAGAAACTCTGCACCCTGCTGCGACAAGCTTTGCCAGCCCGAAGTCACTGACCCGAACGGTCATCCGGTGATCTAGCAAAACGTTGCTCGGTTTCAGATCACAGTGAATAATCGGGGATTCACATTGGTTATGGAGATAGTCTATTGCAGAAGCAATATCAATCGCAATGTTCAGCCTCTGCATCAAATTCAGACCCCTTTGTTTTCCATTGGCCAAAGTAGCTGTACTTTGATGCAGCCAGTCATCCAAGCTCCCATTTTCCATGAATTCATAAACCAGAGCTCTGAAATCATCGCCATGGTGATCCACGCTCGAGCACACTGTCACTACTTTTACCAGATTTCGATGCCTGGCATTCCTGAGAGCTTGGCACTCCGCGAGGAAACTCTTGTAAGCTCTTGGGTGGACGAGGTTGAGAACTTTGACAGCAATTTCGGACTTGGTTTCGTCTGGGGAATCTAGTGTTCCCCTATACACGGATCCAGAGCCTCCCCTGCCAATCAGATTCTCTGAAGAGAACCCATCTGTGGCTTTCAGGAGCCTCTCATAAGAAACCTGAAGGACTTCTCTACTGCTGGGAAGATGCATTGTTATCTTTCGAGATTGTTTCTTCCTACTCCGATAAATGAAGAAACAAGTGAAAGCAATGATTACTGCGGCAGAGATGGAGACTGATGAGGAGATTATGATCTTCAGTTTAACCTGATTCGCTTTTCCTGATCGCTCTTGAATGCATTTCGGCAGCCTGAGATCAGGAATTCCGCCACAGAGATCTCCATTTCCGTCAATCAAGGTTGAGTTTTGGCGCCTGAAAATTCCTTCAGTTGGTACCAGGCCTTGGAAATTATTGTGAGATAAATCCAGGGACTCCAGTGAGCTGAAACTCTGAAAGAAGTCAGGAATCTGGCCGGAGAAGTTGTTGCGCGAAAGGTTCAGCCGTTGGATGCCTCTCAATGCACTCAAAGATTGAGGGATGGAGCCCTGAAAGTAGTTGGAGTCCAAGTAGAGAGCCTCTAAGGTTTCACAACTTCCAAGGCTGTTAGGAATTCTTCCTGACAACCTGTTTTGAGAAAGCCTAAGCTTTCCTAGGTTCTTCAGGTTCCCCACTTCGACAGGAATGGAACCCGAAAGGCGGTTTCCTGACAAGTCGAGGAAGATTGACAAGGAAGACAGGCTAACAAGTTCAGTTGGAATGGTACCTTCAAGAGAGTTCTGAGATAGATTCGCAGCCAGCAGCCTCTTGCAGTTACCTAAAGCATCAGGAATGCGCCCCTGGAGACTGTTCATCTCAAGATGAAGTTCTACCATTCTAGTCAAATTTCCGAGAGAAGTTGGAATGGACCCTGAGAAACCATTGTTTGCCAAGTTTAACCCTTCCAAATTCTGAAGCTTCCCAATGTTCGAAGGAATATTGCCTGCGAGGTTATTGTTATGAGCTTCAAATTGTCTCAGGTTGATAAGATTTTCAACTCCAGGTGGAATGCCTCCTGATATCTGATTGCTGCTAACCAACATCAATGTCAGCCTCCTCGAAAGATTCCCAATCTGGTCCGGCAGTCTTCCACCGAAATTATTGTGATCTAGAGCGAGAATCTCCAGAGCAGTGTTGTTAGTCAAACTAGCCACGAAGTCCAGATCACCATCCGTTCCTGTTCCAAGCTCGTTGGAGTCGATCGCCATCCATCGGAGCTTGTTCAGCTTTTCGAGAGGAGGAATTCTCCCCGAAAACATATTAGAACCCAATCTAATAGTCCCCAAATCCGTGGCGTTCGACAATGAAGCCGGAATCGATCCCGAGAACCGGTTGTTCACCAAGGAGATGAACTGAAGCTGTGGAAGAAACCTTGACCCCAGCCCTGAAGGAAGCTGTCCTGTCAACATGTTGAGTTCCAAATCCACAACGATGAGCGTCGAACTGTTGAATGTCGAATCAGGAATCGGTCCCGAAAGGCTATTATCGTAAAGCGACACGATCGAGAAATTCCTCAACTGGCCTAGACCATCGGGTAGACTCCCCACGAGATGGTTTCTGTAAGCGTAAAGCTCCTCCAAGGAAGACATGTTCCCTACAGACTGAGGGATGCTACCCGTCAGGCTGTTGTTTCCAAGCCCGATTCTTTTCAGCTTGGACAGCGACCCAATCTCATCAGGAATTCTCCCTGACAGCAAGTTACCCGCAAATGTGAAGAGAACGAGGTTTGAGCAGTTGAAAACCTGAGCAGGTATTTGGCCTCCGAGAGAGTTGTTCCGGAGGTTCAGCCACTCCAGCCTGCTGAGCCGCCCGATCTCCGGCGGGATCTCGCCTCCGAAGGAGTTGTTCTGGAGGTAGATTTGTCGGAGGAAGGTGAGGTTTCCGATGGAAGGGGAGATAATGCCGGAGAGGCGGGAGGAACGGAGGTCGATGATAGTGACCCTCTGGTGCCTGCGGCCGCAGGTGATGCCACCCCACTGGCAGAAATGAGTGGTGGAGTTCCAGGTTGCCATGATTTGAAGTGGGTCTTGGGTTATTTGGGACTTGAGATCCATCAGAGCAAGTTGGTCGGTCTGGTTCCCGTCGGCCGCCGCGACGACGGGAAGTAGTGAGCTGAAGAACAGAGCAAGCGAAGAGATGACGAGGAACAGAGTGGGGAACTCCATCTGGGTTTGGGGAAAACTGTAAATTGATGACCTGTGGATCGATGATTTTAAAATTGTAAAATGGTTTGGTGAGATTGAGATGCTTCAGTAGAGTCGTGGAAGATGGCTGGCTGGTCATGGAAATGCGGCTCTGAGGAACTCGTTGTCTCTTTTTCTTTCTGGAAGACTTTCTGTTGGGTTTGGTTGATATTGTATTATATGAGACAGCGTAATTGATCAAGCGCTTTTGTTATATAGCTGAAGGGCAGCTGGCTTGTTTTGCTGACTTTACCGCAGCAAAAGTCAAAACAACAAGAACAGAAGAAAGTAAGAGTTGCAGAAAACTGACACATGTGGCCTGGAAGATGTTGGGAAGCTAATCCTCAGGTCAAGGATAATGGGTAAACAAGCTGGAAAAAATATATTAAAAAAATTTCCCAAAATACAGTACTTATGAAAATATTTTCCAAAATACAGCAGTTTGATCATCACCGTTGTTGACAAAGACAGTGAATATTTTCACCGCGTTAGTGGATAACGGTGAATATATTCACCGCCGTAATACAAAACGGTGAACTATCATCGCATCCCTCGAAAACGGTGATACCTTCACTGCGTCTGTGAAAACGGTGAATACATCACCGCTATCGTAAAAAAACGGGGATCTTTTACCACGTTTTACAACTCTGGTAGGTCGAAAGCGGTGATGTGTTCACCACGATTGTCCAGTGCGGTGATTAGCCCTTATATTTTGCTATAAAAATCCATCCCTCACGTATCTCATTCAGCTGCATTACAGCAATTCAGTACAAAATTAGTGCTTTTTTGGTCCTTTTCTCACTTGGCTTACAGCAACAAGAAACTCATCGGAATTCGGTATGTTATAATTATGTATTGTTTACATGTTGATGTATTAGTAATTATATGTCTGTATTTAGTGAATTTCGGTTATTGGAAAATATGTTATGTTAGAGATATTTAGATGAATTATGGTATGATTGATGTTAGTTAGTTATGAATTTAGATGAATTTGTTTAGTTTTCTCATGATAGATCAATTAGTTGCGGTTGTTAATGGATTTGGATGATATTATTTTTGGGTGGCGTCTTCGGTGCACTCACTTTTTTGGGTGCACTCAGTGCACTCACTTCATAACCGTCATTTTAAACATCCGATTTATGTCAAAATGATGTTAATCATCACTTATGATGTGATGAACAATAACGCACATGAATTTGCACAAAAACCATTGAATATTTACTTTAATTTGAAGAATTTAGAGTTTAGAGATTTAGGGTTAGGGTTAGGGTTCACAATTTGGGGTTTAGGGATAGAACTCAAAATTGGAGGTCTAGGGCTTAGGATAATCTGCTAATTAGTTGTTATCATATGTTATATCATCATATTACACTAATTCTACAAATTAAAATTCAAAATCTGACACCTTAAGACTAGTTTTTGAGTTGGGTGCATTGAACGCACTCATTTTTGTGAGTGCACCAAAGTACTCACCATTATTTTTGTATCCCTAATGTACTAATTATACTATACTAATCTTATCCGAGTTAATCTAATAGTTACTTATTGTAATTTGCAGACATTGGTAAATTTAAGAAGTTTCAGCTTATTATTCGGTGGAATGGTCGGGTGACAAACTAGGACTTTGGGATCGACTATGAAAATGTCGAATCCACTATGCTAAAAATTGAGTCGAGATTCACGTGGCAAGAAATCCGTGACATTTGTGCAGAAAGGACTTGTATGGACGGGCAAATGAGAGTTGGTCAAATTACTTACCGGTATCCAAACATGAGTGCTGGCGGAGTTATGTACGAAGAAGTTGTCATAAATGATGAAGACGCGGTGAACATGATGATACAGTTCCTATCTGACAAAGGGATGCGGATTGCAGAAGTATATGTCGAGACCGAGCCGATCGGTGAAACTCATTCTCACCAGTATTCTTGTGATGATGGTTTTGTAGGAGGGTACGGTTGGGGTGGTAGTTCAAGCAACTGCGGAGGAGGTAGTTCTGCAGGAGGCTACAGCTGGGGTGAAGGTGCAAGCAACTACGGAGGAGGTAGTTATGCATGAGGTGTTGGGTGGGAAGAATACCCGCAAAATGCTGAGACTGCCCCATTCGTTGAGCCCGACGGTGATCAATGGTCTGCTTGGGGGCCAGAGTGGGCTGACATTGAGAACCACCTTCGAACTGGGCGTACTTCGCATGACCAAGAAGACGTTGTTGGTTATGGTGGTAACGATGACCCTCCTGAGTCGAGCTATCCATTCGCCTCCAGCGACGAGGAAAGTGAGGAAGATTTGAGATCAGACAGTGAGGATGAAGATATCGAGGATAGCGAGGTGGCGTTTCGTGAGGCACCAACTCGTTACTACACAGAGGTTTCATCTCAATTTTATATAGTCAGAACGATACCCCTGACTTTCGCCCTATGCATGTGTATAATCCGACTGCCAGTTTGGAGGTGGGTATGGCGTTCACTTTGAAAGTCGATGTTCAAGATGCTTTTATCGAAGAAGCCATGCGGCGCAATTTCGAATGGAAGGTAAAATATTCTGACACCAAACAACTACATGTCATTTTCAAAAATGCACAAGAGGGTTGTTTGTGGCAACTGCGGGCTACAAATATGAAGAGAAAGGGTGCTTGGGTCATTCGGACAGCAGAGAACAACCACGGCTGCTCCTCAAACATACCGTCCCAGGATCACAGGCAACTGAAAGCAAAGAAAGTGGCAAGAACCATTAAGCACTTGATCGAGGCACAACCAAATATCAAAATCAAAGCTATCATGGCCGAGGTGAAGGATCGACACCCCTACACGATCAAGTATAAGAAGGCGTGGATGGGAAGCAGAAGGCCATGGCTGAGGTCTATGGTGATTGGGATGACTCGTATGCTTTACTCCCTAGATTAATGGCCGCAATGGAGGAGCCCAACCCTGAGACTGTTTTCGTGCCCTGTTACAACAATGTATACACTGAGGATCAAGTTCGAGTACAGAACGAGTTGATGTTTCATCGTTTGTTCTGGATCTTCAAGCCATGCATTGACGGTTTTGCTTTCTGCATGCCAGTTAACCAGATATATTACGGTCTAAACACTGTTGTTCTATTTCATTTTCTTACTAAGTAATATTTATACCAACTATAATTCTTTTTAACAGGTTGATGGAGCTTTCTTTATTGGGAAGTACAAAGGAATATGACGAAGAGTAAGAATTGGAATCACTTACCATTGCTCCCCACACAACACCTTGCTTTGACACCCATCTAAGTGTGAATTTCCGATACCACACCATGTATCCATCGTGGTACCCCATTGGCCTCGTCTCCGGTAAACCTTAGACAACCCAAGTCGCTCTATTCTCCCAAATGTTGACGTAGAACGCTTGCTTGCGGATCCAATTCCTTGATTTGTGGCGTAGGTCGATGGCATGGAGCTCTTTGAACCCTTGAGGTGGGGATGCTGGAATTGGTTGCTCCATCCGATATTGCCTCAATGCTCGATCCGGCAGGTGTCACTCCACCATGTGCCAACAGATCAAGGACACCTTGCACAACAACGTCTCTACATCCTGGGGGTGTCTAAGACGATGAATCTCGACCACTTGAGGTGGATATGGATCCCATGTCACCTAAACTCATTAATGATTTGAAATTAGTACAAATTGTATCCAATCCATTTAAAAAATTTAAAATGATCCAATTTGACATTTTTACCTGGTTCCGCCAAGGCTTATCAAACTCAGCACGATAAAACAGTAAAGAGTGCTCAGGATGGTGGTCATTTGTATTTGCTCTGATCCACCTTATTAAGAAAAAGTACGTATATAAGATATTTTAAAAGAATATATGCTATGCTATGCATGTGAGAATTCACTAAATTCGCTAAAATTCGATTCTATGGAAGCATCTAACTACACTAAAATTGCATACTTGGAATCTAAATTCGCTAAATTGCATACTTGGAATGTATCTAAATTCACTAAAATACTAAAATTGCATACTTGGAATAAAAATAACATGTAAATTAAATTTACTTGACACCATAGGGGGATTTGCTAGTTCGCGTAGCTTCGCATCTGGACCCCAGAATTCTCGCGGGTCTAGGTGAGCGAACATTGGAAGATGCTCCCATGCCCAGAGTTGGAGTATGGACATCGCACCTCCAGCTTGTTTCGCTCCCAACCTCAAGCAAGTGCACAACTCTCGGTAGATCCCAGCCAATATGGCCGACCCGCAACTCTTTCCCCCGATCTCGTCCCAATCACCGAGGAGCAACGGCAACCACATGCCTTGTATCCACCGGTTTGCCTTGTCGGGGAACAGAAATCCACCAACCAACCCAATGAGGTAGACGCGTGCATATCGCTCCACCAGATCTTCGGGGGTGTCTGGCCCTAAATTAACCTCCTGTTGGATGTGTTCAACAAGCACGGGATTGAAACTTGCCCCGCATTGAGCGGCGGATGCCCAACCCCTTGAACGGGCGTTGTGGTCGGCATGTTGAACTCTAAACGCTCGAGAATCAACGCCCCCCAACCACCTTCGGGTTTACTCGAGTTGCCGATGATGGCCTCTGCAGTGATTGGCAGCCCGGTGAGGATGGCAACATCTCTGAGGCTGATCGTCATTTCCCCCTCCAAAAAGTGGAAGGTATGCAACTCGGGGTGCCATCGCTCTGCCATTGCCGTAAGTAGATCGTTGTCAATATCAAGCCTCATGAAGTGCCTCAGCATGTGCAATCCCGTCCTCTCTAGATAGGGCTACAGTCGAGGATGCCAAAAAGGCAATCGACATGTCCCTCGATGACTGATGGGAATAAGTGATTCCTACAAAACAAAAAATACAATGTTGTTAGGAAAAAAAAGCAAAACAAAAAGTTTTAACCTATTGAAATAATTAAAAAATTTATACAATATGGAGTGTCTACCGGATTATTGTCCCAAATTGCACGGGAGCGATGTTGTTCTTGCTCGTTTAAATATTTTCGATCCCTTGGGCCAGGATCAATATACAATCGAGTTTCGTATATCTCAGCACCCATCTACAAACAAATGTGAAATGAAATTAGATTATTTCAAACCCATTTAAAAAAATATCACACACAAAAAAAATTCGTACTCTCAGAGCCTCTTCGTCCATATTTTGCCGAAAAGCTGGAGAGAGTATCGACGAAACTTTAGAGCAAAGGATTGAAAATAAAATAAAAACTCTAGTAATTCTTTATGATGTGGAAGATCGGACTTAGCCGCAACCACATAGCATACTTAGAACGAGACTAGAGTGAAGTAATGGAGGGAGAAAGAAGTATAAAAGTGGTGGTGTGGTTTGGAATGAGGGGGAAGGAGTGGTATTTATAGTGAGGATCATAGAGCATTCACCGCTCTGGTCAAAGACGGTGAAGCAAACCCGCGTTCCTCGAAGACGGTGAAGGGCGCGGATTGATGACGTGGCTCCCTTTGAGACGTCGGATCTGGGAGAAAAACCAGAATCCAAGCCTCACCGCATCGGACGATAACGGTGAAAAGCGCGGGTGACCATGATTGATGACGTGGAACGCGGGGAATTCCCCACTTTCCTTCAAAACGTTGAAGCGCGAACCGACGTTTCACCGCTGTGCACGTAGACAGTTAAACCTTACCCGTCTTTCTCCAACACGTTGATAGTTTCCTCGCTTTTGTCCAAAATGGTGATACATTCACCGTTGTTCTTTGCGCGGTGATAATATTCACTGTTTTTGTCAACAACGGTGATGATCAAACTGTTGTATTTTGGAAAATATTTTTATAAGTACTGTATTTTGGGAACTTTTTTTTAATAGCTAGTGTATTCTGGGTTTTTTTCCAAACAAGCTCACTCTTTCAAATATTAGTAAAAAAAAACTTAACAATTAAGATCAAATCGCATTGATTTTTTGTTTTCCATTTCTTCACTCTATTTTTATATGATTATAGACCGAGGATCGAATCCCTAATTTTGTCCATTCAATAGTAGCAACTAGCATAAGGTATTTGCGTGGGAATATGAAACGAATCAATCTAGATTTAGACGTTTTTGTTAGAAATTACGATTGTTTCTACTTTCAAGCATTATGCAATGTGAGTAACATGGACAAAGTACAAGCTCACAACCTTAAACAAGTTTTCAAAACTCTCAACTAAGAAGTTCTTAGCAAAAGTATTGAAAAATGTCATGACAATTATCATGTTCTTAAATATCTTGATGGAGGTACGCCTTTAGGTTAGGGGTCGTTTAGTCATTTGTTAGGGTTAAGTCGATTAAGATTTCGGATTAGCGTTTATATATTGTCGTTTATCTATTTCGTCAGAAGGAATCAATCAATAAACAAATTATCAAAGTATCGTCAGATTATTCCAATCTCCCTTCCAATCCCTGATTATGTTCTAATCTTCTCCAAATCTCTAAATATCTTCTTCTCAATCCCAAAATCAATCCCTGCTACCCTTCATCCACTCATCAGATACCCTCAATTTTCTTCAAAAGGGAACATTGAAATCATAAATGCCCTTTAAATTCTTCGTTACTATACAAGTCTTGAATGTTTTTAGTGATTCGGGTTTTTAGTAACAGAAGGATGAATATTAAGATTCCAATCTTGTGAAGTTATCAGCCAAACCATAAACTCTCAAAGGATGCCAATTTATTTAGGGGTGAGTTCTTATTCATTGTCTTATTTGAGGATTTGGGAGGAAAATATTCCAAAATTTTAAAAGGTGACATTTAATTTTATTATACAACAATTGTTTTAAACAAACATTTGAAGAGTTTAGAAGTGAAAGGGCATTATTGTGTGATGAATCAGTTGTGGTATATAATGTAAGCTCTCTTTTGTTATAGGGGAGAACAAATAAGAAACTTTATTCTTATGTCGTGAGTGAATATCCACCCTAAGATAATTTTTCATGTAGACTTGAAAATTTAGACTAAAATACTTCGAGTGCCACTTAACTTTGAGAATTGGGGTAGACATATCACTTAAGTTTGAATAGGGTGTCGGATACCATTAAAGTTGTTAAAATGTGCATCCGTCTATTTTTCCATCCAACCCAAACTTTTAATTACTTTTTGATACCCAAGACTTTTAAAAACATCCAAAATTATATTTCAACAAGTTTTATCTAATATAATAATTAGAAAACCATCTAAACATATTAATACTAGAATCACTTATCAAATTTTTTCAATAAAATAGATAAATTAGTAAAAATAGTAAAAGAATATCAAGAAGAAGAATAAATATGCTACAGTATAATAATAAATACTAGAATATCTATTTAAACCCTCTAATTCAATTAGAAGCAATATTAGAAATAGTTAAAATAGTTTCACCAAAATAAAATAGTTAAAATAGAACCTAATTGATCATCAATACATCAAAATCAAAAACGATAAATGGAACACAATCAGAACGAATTAAATATATTTCACTAATTGAAAAAATTTAGAACGAAAAGATATGAAAAGTAACCAAGTAATAAACAAAATACAAAAGCTACAACATTCGGTAAAATATGTAGAAAATAAAATATGACTATAAAAGCTACAACATTCATGGAATAATTCAATTATTAGAACACATAATAATAAATGAAAATAATTATAATGATAATTAATTCTAAAATTTCTATTCAAAAATTGTTTTGGTATCAAGTATTCAAAAGAGGATTCTAACTAAACAATAAAAAATAATATTTTTCATAAGTCCAAATGATTTTTTAACAATAAGAAAAGTAGAAGGACCAATTATGAAATTTAGAAAACGGAATATTCCAATAATATTCTGTCAACTTTAACAGAATGCACTTAACTGTAAACTTGAGTAGTACCGGGTGCACATATAATAGAGTTCAGTCGTATCCGACGCCCTATTCAAACTTAAGTGGTATGCCTATCCCAATTCTCAAATTTAAGTGGTACCCGAGGTATTTTACCTTGAAAATTTAATTGTATTCATGTATATGATTGGTGGATTTATGGATTGTATTCAATGATACAAGTAATATTTAAACACTGGACCATTATGAAGTTTATAGTTTAGATACTAAAATGTCATTATTATTTTTACCAAAACATAAATTTTAATGACAGTTTCATTAATTAATTATAAATTTAGGTACCAAATTGTCAAATAAAAAATAGATGTACTAAAGTACATTCCAACAATACATAAATCCATCAAACCAACTTGATTTGGAATAAGTGGAATGAATTTAAATAAATTTGAATAGCTGATTCTCTTAGTTCATGGATTGGATTGAAGGATTGTATTCAAATTCCCACCTATATTTTCAGAGTACTATTCCTAACACCTAAGTCGCCATTCCGCTTTCCACTAACGCGTTGTAACTACAAATCCTTTCACCAAAAGTTAAAATGTACCTTCAGGGAAACAATTCCTACATGTCAAAAGAAAATCCGGAGGAAAGGAAGACTTTCCGAACCGAATGCTTGCTCTGTTCAGAGCTTTCCAAACCGAATAATTGCTCGATTTGAAATCGATGGCTACTTTTAGAGTGTTTTAGTTCGATTTTGATCGAATTCACTTCAATTCTGGTCGAACCGACTGAATGCCCACCCAAGCACATTCCTACGCATGTTGCGGTAAGCACCCTAGCGGATTAGGGCAAAAAAACCGATCTCAATAAATTCAATAGTGACCTAATTGGCAGCTTACCAGTTTCCTATCTACCAAAAAGGAACACCTAAATAATCCCGTCAATACCCTTTCCACGTGGCAGTTTCCGGGTAGTCCAAATCCCACGGAATCCTTCCTGCCCCGGCGTTTAATGGATCGAAAGAATTTCCGGCAGAGAATAAGATTTGTTGTACGAGCAATTGAATTTGATATTTCAGAATTCAGACTTGTTCCATGAAGAAGGAAGTAGTATCCAGTCGAAACCGAGTTGGGGTTCGATAAAGAATTGTTTTTGGATCCAAAACTTCAAGAAGATCGCCGTGGCGGGATGTGTTTGTGGCGGAATCCCCAATCCATCGTCCCTCGCTAGGCAACAAGCCGGCGCCAGATAATCCACACAAACCCAGTACAAGAAGAAGCTTCCTTCGCAGGAACTTGGGCCGACTTTCATTGAAGCCATCCCCGCCTGCAGGAGCTTGCGGACTTTCCTTGAAGCCAAAGTAAGTAATAAAGGCGCTTCCTTTGCTAGTGGGTAAAGGTAGAGACTGAATAAAAGTTCAGATCTTTGGGAGAGAAGAAGAGTGGTGGTTTGCAGGAAGCTGGTGGTGAAGCAGGCAAAAGGAAATGGGGATATTGCATGAAGATGTTGTGTTGATAAATCAGGCTGAGAAGGCTGGTGAACCAACTGTGATTACCGTGAATTGTCCGGATAAAACTGGGCTGGGTTGTGATTTGTGCAGGGTTATTCTCTTCTTTGGTCTCAGCATTTCCAGAGGAGGTGAGTTGATGGCTTTGAAAGCTCTCTTCTATATTCTCTTGGCTTTTGGGTTTTGTTCTGCACTTTTTCAATTTGTTTACTACTGGCTTCAGTTACTTTCTGGGTTGTGTAGCAATTTCTTCTTTTGTCTGATCTGGTTTAGTTGTGATCTAGAAGAGTTTCTGGCCTTTGTATGGTATCAGTTTTGGTGACTTTGAGGTTTGATCTGTTGCCAGAGAAAACAGTAGGTGGTAGAAAGTTCATGACTTGGTGATTTACTGTTCTTTTCATTTTTGCTGCAGATTTTCAAACGGATGGGAAATGGTGCTATTTAGTGTTTTGGGTGGTGGGGAAGCCCAACACAAGGTGGAATTTGTTGAAGAAGAGACTTTTGGAGGTGTGCCCTTCTTACTTCTCCACATCAGGCATCTACTACTATCGGCCAGAAAATCAGCAGCCTACCCCGCCAAATGTTTTCCTCTTGAAGTTCTGGTGTTCTTGCGATCGAAAGGGCCTTTTGCATGGTAACCGGAAAACTTTTCAGATCTCTTAGAACTTGCTGTTAAAAGTTGGTCCTTTATTTAAGATGTTAATAGCCAATGCTTTCTATAGGATCGATGTGATCGTTTGGATGATTTGCATTTCTCAAAGGACTGAGAAAACTGAATAGTTAGATTCATTTTTGCTAAACATGGTAGGAACTGCACTGCTCATCTGGCTATCTGAACTGTAATGTCCATGGCTTTCTGACATAAAAAAAAAAATATATCAGACAGCTGCCGCCTTCTTTTATTTTGAGTAATGAGTAAAACTCTCTTTTCTGTTCTGTAGTAGTAGCTGGCATTAAAACTCATGATTGATCTCAGTTTGTATTTTCTAGTGTTGTACTTTTCCCCCTTATTGGCAGTATTCACTATCGAACAGAAAATTTTACAGCTGTATAGGCGCATGGTTTCTTTCTCGGTGTAGTATTCACTAATAGCACTCTTTTTCATTGTTAGATGTTACCAAGGTTCTTTGCGACCTGGAGCTGACCATTAAACGAGTGAAGGTATCCACAGCCCCTGATGGAAGAGTTATGGACCTCTTTTTTGTCACTGATGCCAGGTCTGTGATTCGTTGATACTTCCTCTAGAACTCAAATTTGTGTTATTTTCCTCGCTATCTGATGTTCCACGAAAAAGCTACTGTTCATTTGTCAAAGTTATTAAACCTGATAAAGTGGAGGATGGATAGCCTAGGTTTATGTTTAACACTGAAGGGTGTATTTTGTGGCAAGCATGTTATTGGGAAGCATATCTTAACCTTCGGTGATTTCTCATGACTTATTGCAGACCTCAACCTCTTGGTTCTGTTCTAGTTGATTGTGATATGTTTGCATACTATTTTGCTTCCATGTTTTCACCTGGAAAGTGTTGTTTGGTGCAGTATTTGTTTTTCCTATTGGTTATGAAGGAGAGCTCTTCATCTTTGCTGATTGTATGTGGTTGGCTTCTTGCTATTGCAAATCCAAAGTACTCTAGCTATTTGGAAAAGACATGCCTCAGTTTACTTCTTTGTTTTTCTCATTTTCTTGCCTAACCTCTTACGATATTTGATTAGTTCCAAAATGAGAGTTGTTAAAGTCATTCATGATCGTTTATTCAGGGAACTTCTTCATACCAAAAAGAGACAGGAAGAGACATTCTGTCGTTTGAAAGATGTATTAGGCGATGCATTGATGAGTTGTGAGATTGAGATGGCTGGAGCAGAAATTATTACAGCATGTTCACAAGTGTCTTCATTTCTTCCTTCTGCAATCACGGAGGACATGTTCAACTTAGAGCTCCCCGATAGCAGACAGCGGAGTGGTTTTTTTGCTTCCACTCCCGTATCTGTTACAGTGGACAACACACTCAGTCCCTCTCACACCCTTGTTCAGATATTCTGCAAGGATCACAAAGGCCTCATTTACGACATTATGAGAACCCTTAAGGACTATAATATACAGGTAGGTAACTCCACACTCTCCTTTTTCTTCGAGATTCATTATAAGGTTGAGTTTGTTTCTTTGTGCTGCAACTTTAAGTAGACAGAGTCTGAAAGTTGGTTCATTTTCGCCTCCCAGCACATTTCCTTCTTTTCCTTTAAGCTAAAGTTAGGGTATAACGAATTTTGACTCTTTTCTTCCACTTGAAGTTTCAGCTCATTCACTTAAAGTAGCAATATATGATCATAAGTCTGGAAAAGAAAAGGTAGAAAAGCTGCATAAGACATGCAATTTATTTGATCATGTGCATTAATATATTGTGTCCCTTGTTTGGTGGTTAGATTTCATATGGAAGATTCTTTGCAAATCCAAGAGGGAACTGTGAGGTCGACGTGTTCATAATGCAAGCGGATGGGAAAAAGGTGGTTGACCCAAACAAACAGACGGCACTGTGCTCCCGTCTGAGAATGGAGCTTCTGAACCCTCTTCGAGTAGCGGTGGTCAGTACTGGTCCTGACACAGAGCTTCTTGTGGCAAACCCTGTTGAACTCTCCGGCAGGGGAAGGCCTCTTGTCTTTCACGATATCACCTTGGCTCTCAAGATGCTCAGTGCTTGCGCATTCTCGGTACTCCTCTCTGCAAATCGAAATCGTTAAAATTCCATGCACACAAAGGTTGTCTTGTCTCCATTTATGAGCTGGGTCTCTTAACGCTTTTCGCTTTTGGTCCTCAGGTGAAGATCGGAAGGTACATGATTCATGATAGGGAGTGGGAAGTGTACAGAGTGCTGCTTGACGAAAGAGAGGAACGCCCAACTGTGCCAAGGATGAAGATCGAGGAAGGTGTGAAGAAAGTATTGATGGGTTGGGAATAAGATTGAATTGATCATCTACTTATTCCAGCCTTTGTATATAAAAATACATCTAGATACAGCTTCTATTTCCTTTTCCCTTGGCTTACTAACCACCACATATGTTCATTTCAGTACTTGCAAAAATGTAAATCATGGATATGAGATAGAGAAATATGAATGACAAAAGTATCTGTACATTAAATTCCTGGCCTTTACCGGGAAACACCGGCTCCAAAGAGTACTACTTCTTTCTGCACTTGTTCTTGGCGTTCAAGGAACGTTCTGTTGGCTTTTCCCACAGATTCTGTGAAGCCTCTGATATCCAAGATCATTAGGGAATTTATTGTTGCTTAGTTAATAGCTTCCTCTGCGAATCGACCTCGCGATCTTTGTCTCCCTCCCTCTGCTGCGGTTCATCAACTCGCCCTCTCTCTTCCCTCCATAAATATACAGAACTTCAAATTCCCTCCTCCCAACACCAACGAAATCCTCCACCATCTGAAAAACTCAACAACCCTCCTCTCTACGATTCACTCTCTGAACTTCCTACTCCCCACCAATCGGCAGAGGAAGTAGAGAAACCCAATGGTGGCTTCCAGATTTCAAGCCGCTTCCTTGGTTGGTGCCCCTTCCTGCCCCAACGCCATTGCTTGGTCTGACGAGAACTTGATCGCAGTCGCTTCCGGCCACATTGTCACCATTCTGGTAACCGTCTTTCTGCTCGCTCCTCGCTGCCCCAGTCTTTGTTTGCTCTTTCGCTGATTTAGTCTGGTTTTTTTTTGTTTCCTCTACCTAGAATCCAGCTTCGCCTATTGAACCTCGCGGCACTATCGCGGTTCCTACCGGAAAACATTACCCAATTGGCAGAGTTGAAAAAGAAGGTACCCTTTTCTCCCCTTTTCTCCTTTCTTCCAAAATTCCCGCCAAATGGGTTCTGGTAAACGTTCCCGCCAACTGGTCATTGGTCTGCAGCTTCTCGCTAATTACATTGTTGGGTGTCCCTAAAGTTCGATTCTTGTACAATTTTCAACATTTACTATGCTGATCAGTTACTGGGTTTTTTGCTTTTGTCCAAACGGCTTCTTTATCTGTGGTGTTTGCCGGCAGATTTGCTCTCCGGTGACCTATTGCCCACTGCTTTATCGCGGGACCGGAAACCCTGTGCTAGGTCAATTGCTTGGTCTTCTCTTGGAATGTCTCCTAACTATGGGTAGGTACCCCCAATTACTATACCTTTCCTTTGATGTGACTAGAATGGCTTCACAGCCGTTTTGTTTTTCAGCTGTTTGCTCGCAGTTTGTACATTTGAAGGATGCGTGCGGGTCTATCGCCCACCCTTTTGTGATTATAGCACCAACTGGATAGAGGTATGGTTTCAGAGGTATTCCATTTTAAATGAGTTGATTGCAACTTTTTGTAAGCCATCTGAATCTGAATACCAATTCCTTTTTGCAAATTCATTTTAGGCTGCTGATATATCAGACATGCTGTATGATCATCTTGCAAACGTTAACTTTGTGGAGATCGACATCTCTACTTCAGAAATTCCTTCTGTGAGTACTAAGGGTTTCTCTTACTACATATTGTTATGATTTTTCATTTTAGGGTTGGCCTGTGGGATCGTTTTGTCCTGAGTAATGAAAGCTGAGTCTCATATCCATCTATGCATGTCAGAATGGAGTGTCAAAGGGAAAATCTGCTGAGGATGATATGCCAAATTCACCAACTGGCAAGATATTCAAGCCTGTTGTATTGAAGCAATACAAGCGGAGACGAGTTACCGTTGTTACTGAGATGTAAAACTGCTTGTTCTCGACCCTTAAGCTGTTTGCTCCTATTATAGTATGCTTTTGTTGTTTACGTATCTCATATGTGTAATCTTTCAGATATAATTTGCTGAAAAGTTTGTACACATATCTCATAATAGATTGGCTCCCCTTAGTGTCGTTTCACTTGGTAATGCTGCAGAAACAGCCATGCTGATAGTTTGGAACACTTTTCAGAACCTAGACATGCTGAGATTACTAGCACTAGACCCACCCATCTCAGTATATTGGATAGCAAGAGGTCGCCCAAGGTAAGCTTTCTGAAGTCAGGTGCTTTACCATACCCTTTTCCTTTTTGTCACCATTCATTATGCTTCAAGCAATATTGGCATTTCTGCTTGGGAACTAATTTGCTTATGTACGCTCAGACTAAGCTCGCCAAGCTGGGCAAGAATAAAATGGGAAGCTGTACATTTCCGCTTTTAACTTCAAAGGAGTATGCTGCTCGTAGTGCACTGCTTTCCTCACTTGTGGTTACATGGTCGCCATTATTGTGTTCACCATCAAACAGAAATTTCCCATCTTCAGATGATCCACTCAATAAATATTCTATTCTTGCTGTTGGAGGGAAGTCTGGTAACATTTCATTCTGGAGAATTAGTGCACCTCAATGCTATTCAATTGAGCACAGTAAAGCCCCTACTGGTGTAATGTTTCTTGGGCTTCTTCAGGCGCATACTTCATGGGTAACTGCAGTGAGTTTGGAATTACTCGTTTCAAACTCTGATCCCCAGGTTGTAATGGTTACTGGAAGTACCGACGGAAGGTGAGTTATAGGTTTACCGGACATCCAAGTATAGTCTAGAATGCTACATTGAGGACTGAATTCTTTTCTCCTTTTTCATCTTCAGTGTGAAGTTGTGGGTGGGGAATGTGGAAGAACTGAGTAGGTTATCAAAAGCTAGTAAAGTAGGTCCCTTTGTCCTAGTAAAGGAGGTAGCTGTTTGCATTCCGGTTGTAACTGTTTATCTGCATTTGGATATATGTTGGCCTTCAGTACTAACATTAGCCTTCCAACAGGTTGTTCATGAGAATATTGTCCCAATTTCGGTTCTTTCAGTGGTGCTACCTTCTCAACCTGTAGATAAAATGCTTATAGCAGTTGGCAAAGGATCAGGATCTTTCGAGATTTGGACATGTGACACATCAAACTTCAAACTTGACAAAGCTGGATGTCATGATGCTCATGACTATGCTGTAAGTACTCTAAATCTGTTCCTCTCTCTCCATCTCTCTCAAGTTCTCTCGATCATAACTTACGCTAGAAAGGATGCATCAGGTTACAGGTTTGTGTTGGTCTTCAGATGGACTTTTTTTGTACAGCTGTGGCCAGGTATTCATAGAAATGGACAAACTAGCAAAATTGCCCCCATTGTTTATTAGATATGTCAGATTGTTAACACTCCAACTTTCAACATCTTCCAGGACAACTATTTACGTAGCTGGATCTTACGTGGGGAATGCCTGTCCGAAGTGCCCATCCCCTCGAATATTCCCGGTCAAACCGGTTTACATGAAGTGGGTGGTTTCCTAACTTCTCTGTGTCTCCTTTTCTATCGGAATCCCATTTTTCCCTTGAGAAAGAAGGAGCTTTCTTTTGCAGGTTCCTGATGCTTTGCTTTCATGCCTGGGCGTGGTAGCATCACCTGGAAATCTCATGGTTGCAATGGTATGAGTATTCTCCCACGATTTATTCTCTCAATGAAGTTCTAGTCATTTCAAAACTTAAGTTACTTACTAGGATCTTACTTCTGGCAGGTCCGTGATCTTGATGTTGAGCTATTGGGCCAAATGTACGAGGCAAGGTACGAGTAGTTTACAATCAAGAACAACAACCAAAAACCAATGGGATCTTAATGGAAGACCCCTCAAAGTAAGTCCCTCTTTCTATTTCCTGAAAAACTTGCAGGGCTCAGAAGGCTGTAGTTGAATTCTTTTGGATCGGCGGACAACCAGTGGAGAGCACCCTCGCCAACTCATCAATCAACTTTTACAAAGAAGCATTTCCTGGATTCACCCCAAACGAATTGGCCGACTGGGAATCCAACATCCTATTGTCATTGAAGCAGTACGAAGATCCATATAAGCCTTTAGTAGTATGGGATATCATAACAGCCCTTCTGGTTTTCAAAGATTCTATTCCCAAGTATGTCGACTATTTACTGGGTAGATGGCTATCGACAGCATTCTTGGATGGTCAGCACTCAGATTATCTTCCCCTTAGCGAGGTGCTGACACTTTCCTCAAAGAGCTTCTCGGAAGTCCCATCTCGCCTCTTGCACCTTCTAAATATCATGTCCAGACGAATAATTCTGTCTGAGATGAAGGCTGAGGAACTCAACTCCAATGTCACCACTGACACTACCAGTGTTAGACATGAGACACTTGAGCTTGGTTTGCAAACACTGTTAGAAAGTGAGAGAGAACTTCGAGAGAGGCTTGTGGGACTCAGCTTTGCTGCTTTTTCCGGCGGGTCTCACTCGGCAGCTACAAGTTCCTCACAACTTGAATCTTGGTCTCCATTGGGAGTCATGCAGATGGAACAATGGGTTGTATCTAATCATGCTCACGTGAGGAATCAACTCAAGGTCCTTGCGTCAGAAGTCCGGAAGCATACAAGGTAACTCCTCTCCTTAAATGCTTCTTTTATATCATCAGGTGCTTGGTTTGGGTATTTGGGACAACAATATTTGCAATAGCATCCAATTGCACAAACATATAGTTTTTCGTTGACACTTTTGAGTGTATTTGAAATAACACATGTAGTTTCAAATTCATCAAAATGATACAATCTCAAATATCGAAGATAGGAAATAATTAAAATTTTCGTTTTAGAGAAGTGGATTCCGTGTCTTTTTCACCTTTTGAGTACAAATCCCTATACATATGCATTACAGTTTTTACAATGACACCGGAAATAGCATGCACTTGGGGTAAGTGTTTGCCTGCTGAATCAATGTATGCGCATTATGCTAACTACAAACAGGATTGGTGCTGACAGTAATGCTGCAAAAGAGCAATGCAAGTTTTGCACAGCCTCAATTCCTTTCGAGTCTCCGGAGCATGCAACTTGCCAAGGTGCAGAGAGCATCAAGGGAGATATGGAGAAACATGAAGTGCATAGATGTGCAGTGTCAATGCAGGTTTGCCCTGCTAGTCCTTCGTGGTTCTGCATATGTTGTCGCAGGAAGGTGCACAAGCTGGCTCCTGAATATCTGTTTAAGATGTCTAGGTTTCCTACGGATTTTAGTTCCTGGAAAGAAGCTTCTATAGCTGAGAAGTCCCCGAGACCCTTCTGCCCCTTTTGTGGGATTTTATTGCAGAGAATGCTGCCAGATTTTTTGCAGTTGGCGCAGCCAGTGTGAAGGGCAACTACTGTTGGAGGTGTGCCCTTCTTACTTATCGACATCAGGCATCTACTACTATCGGCCAGAAAATCAGCAGCCTACCCCGTCAAATGTTTTCCTCTTGAAATTATGGTGTTCTTGCGATCGAGAGGGCCTTCTGCATGGTAACCGGAAAAAATTTCAGATCTCATAGAACTGGCTGTTAAAAGTTGATCCTTTATTTAAGATGTTAATTGCCAGTGCTTTGTATAGGATCGATGTGATCTTTTGGATGATTTGCATTCTCAAAAGGACTGAGAAACCTGAATATTTAGATTCATTTTTGCTTGACAAACATGGTAGGAATTGCACTGCTCATCTTGCCATCTGAAATGTCCATGGCTTTCTGACATAAAAAAATGAATATCAGACAGCTGCCAACTTCTTGTATTCGGAGTAATGAGTAAAACTCTTTTTCTGTTCTACAGTAGTAGCTGGCATAAAAACTCATAATTGATCTCAGGTTGTATTTTCTGGTTGATTGTGATATGTGTGCTTGCTTTTTTTGCTTCCATGTGGTCACCCGAAAAGTATTATTTGGTGCAGTATTTTTGTTTGTCTAGTTAAGAAGAGCTCTTCATCTTTGCTGATTGTATGTGGTTGGCTTCTTGCTATTGCAAATTCGAAGTACTCTAGCTATTTGGAAAAAAACATGCCTCAGTTTACATGCTTGTTTTTCTCATTTCTCTTGCCTTTTCTCTTATGATGTTTGATTAGTTGCGAAATGGGACTTGTTAATTTGAGATTCGGTATTAGGTTGAGTTTGTTTCTTTGTGCTGCAACTTTAGGTTAAGTCTGGAAGTTAGTTCCTTTTCCCTCACAGCACATTTCCTTCTTTTCCTTTAAGCTAAAGTTAGGGTGTAAGGAATTTTGACTCTTTTCTTCCACTTAAAGTTCCAGCTCATTAAAGTTAGGGTGTACTCCCGTCTGAGAATGGAGCTTCTGAACCCTCTTCGAGTAGCGGTGGTCAGTACGGGTCCGGACACAGAGCTTCTTGTGGCAAACCCGGTTGAACTCTCTCGCAGGGGAAGGCCTCTTGTCTTCCATGATATCACCCTGGCTCTCAAGATGCTCAATGCTTGCGCCTTCTCGGTACCCACCTTTGTGAATCAAAATTGTTTTAAGTTCAATGCACACAATGGTTGTCTTGTATCATGTATGCGATTTACAAGCTGTCTCTCTGACGCATTTCGGTTTTGGTCCTCAGGTGAAGATTGGAAGGTAAATGATCCATGATAGGGGGTGGGAAGTGTACAGGGTGCTGCTTGATGAAAGGGAGGAACGCCCAACTGTGCCAAGGATGAAGATTGAGGAAGATGTGAAGAAAGTATTGATGGGTTGGGAATAAGATTTGATCATCTACTTGTTCCAGCCTCTGTATATAAAAGTTCTATCTAGATACAGTTTTTATTTCCTTTTCCCTTGGCTCCTTAAGGTTCCTGAGTAATCTTCAGTAGAGTTGGGCGCTTTCAGGTCACATCAGTGATTCAGCTTAGCTTCTTCTCTTACTCTTCTGATAAAAGTTGTTGTCTCTCTGAGAAATTGTACTGATTGAATCACCTATTGTAGATAATACATGTATGGTTTCTCGGCTGTTGAACTACGTGTAGTGTAGAAGAGGCTACACAGATAGCACACGCTATTACTGCCTCTCCTCCTGAACATCGGTTCAATTGCGAGAAGTTATTGCGACTTATTTTAAATCTAATCAATCCTCGCTCATTCTATTCTGTGATATAGCTTTTGTTCACAGATCCTGTTGAGTCTCTGATAGCAATATCGAATCGATCGGAGATCTCTCATAGCAAGAGCTTTCTATTGGAGTGCGGAACACTCTTAAAGAGGTTGAGGAATTCATATAGGAGTTTGTTTGACCAAGGTGTAAAAAATGACACTTGCTAAGAAGAATAACAAAAAAAGAGAACTTCGTAGCACATATTAAAGTTGCTCGCTTTTCCCATTTTGCATTCTTAGCGAATCACGTGTTACAGTTCATGCACTGTGACCAAACAAAACGACTAACAGAATGAAATATCTATGCACAGTAATAAGCATCACATTGTCTGCGGAGCCATAGGCCATCCAGGATCGTGCTAAATGAGTTTCTTCATCTTGTAGTTGCGAAAAAACAGAAAAACACTGCACGATCTCAGTACACAGCTTGTTCTTATTTCAGACTGTCGAACAAACATCCAGCTGCGGAGAGTAACCTGGTTATGGACTGTGTAGATATGGTTTCAACTGATCGCTTCCTGAGATGGAAAGTGGAGGCCATAAACTGATGAGCTACCACCAGAACGTTCAATTCAACGATGAGAGGTGAAAGACAATGTCACTGAAAGTTGTGTATCCTTTTTGCAGAGGCGAGAGTATTGGAAAGAAGCATTGCTATGGTCATTGGACCAACTCCCCCTGGTACAGGAGTTACTGCAGATGCAACTTTGCTGGCTTCCTCGTAGCAAACATCCCCGACCAATTTATACCCACGAGAGCACGATGCATCCTTTTGAACATGCACCAGAACAAGAAAACAAAGTAACAGTCAATGACCAATACACCCGTCAAAAGGAAGTGACAGTAGAGGGAAGTATCAAGAAAAGTGCAGAGTATTGCAAGGACCAGTAGTTCAATTGAGAAAATGATCAAGAAAAGCACCGAGTATATATCGCAAACAATCATCTTATCTAACCTCAACAGCATTGATTCCAACGTCAATGACGACGGCACCAGGCTTTAACCAACTCCCTCTCACCATGTTGGACTGACCTACAGCAGAGACTACAATGTCTGCTTGTTTCACAATCTCTTCAGGATTCTTGGTCCTAGAGTGCACGATAGTTACAGTAGCATCCTCCCTCTATATCATCACAAACAGCATGCACTTTTGCCATCAGCAAGGGGAAAGAACTATGGAAAAGCACAAACCCAATTCATACAAATTGAGATTGGAATCAACAAAGTTACCTGAAGTAACAGAGCAGCTGGCATGCCCACTATGTTACTCCGGCCAATCACCACTGCTCTCTTCCCACTGATCTGAACCCCCGATCTACGCAACAACTCGATGCACCCTTTCGGAGTACAAGGAACAAACAGCGGGTCTCGTCCCCGCATTGCGAGCCGGCCAATATTCAAAGGGTGGAAACCATCTACATCTTTCTCAATGCTAACAGCATTCAAGACGTTCTCTTCATTCATATGCTGCACAGAAACATACATCATCATGAATTCCTTGTTCATTGCATTTTCCAAAGAGCTCAACTTTCCAGTGCAATGACTAGTAATACCTTTGGTAGGGGCAACTGGACAAGAATGCCATGAACTGCAGGGTCGTCATTGAAAGCCGCGATGTGCTTGAGAACTTCAGCCTCGGCCGAATCCTCCTGCAGCCGCACTTCGAACGAATTGATCCCAGCAGCTTCGCAAGCTTTCTTCTTGTTCCGCACGTAAGTCGCGGAGTCCTTCCTGTCCCCGACGAGGATCACTGCAAGCCCAGGAACAGCTCCGATCGCATCCTTCATCCTCGATACTTCGGCAGCTATCTCTTCTCTGATTTGCTGGGCCACCAATTTGCCGTCTATTACCTTAGCAGAGGCCTCGGCCCCGCTGGGCTGAGATGCTGCACGAATTCAACCGCAAACAAAATGAATCAAAATCTAACGGGGCGTGGGAATTCGCAATCAGAGAACATAGAAAAGCTTGTGGAAAAATGGATGGTAGGGAAGGTGTTTGCGGAAATGCTCGAATGAAGCCTTGCTTACCATCCATAGCTTAGTGAGGGATTCTCAGGAGATGGAGAGCGGAGTTCTCCTTTACCAGAACATGAACTCCAATCGCAGATCCAAGCTAGTCCAACAACGGAAGGTGGAAAAGGATAACTAATTTCCAAATCTAAAGAATTTGAGATAATTGGATAAAACTCAAATTAAAATGATAATTTTTTTTGTTTTGGGCTCTGAACTTTTAGGGCCTTTTTGGGGCTTGGCCCGTTTGTTTCAATTGAGTACAGCCCGTCAGCCTATGCAGCCCGAAGAGCCACCGGCCTGTGATCTATCCACAGGCCGGAGATCGGAGAGGAAGGTAATCGTTGCTCTATAAAGCCAGCGATCATAGATCGATTCCATGACCTACTCCGATGATGATGTCGATGAAGACGTAGAACAAACTTAGTCTAGCTATTGTGCCAGAAAGTACTGCAAATGTTGCCTATGACTTGAGAAAAGAGTGATAAACGAAAGCAAGACGACGTTTTTAATAATGATTTTTAGGTGTGTGATGAAAATCTAAAGTTTGCAAGTCATTCATCATAGGCGTAACTTCCCTGTAACAGAGCTCGGATTCTTTTTGCTGTACTAGCATTTCGATACTGCTATTTTGTCGTTGAACCGCCAATACCTTTCACAAACCATGGCTTGCACTCTAAGAAACCCACTGAAAATGGGACTTTTCTCAAGACAATAATTTGGGGAAAAATTGCACACATCCACACGATGGACTGGGGCCAAAACTGAAACATGTGGTTCGCAGAATCGCAGCCACCACGATTGCTCTCTGAGCAAGCCACCGCCGTCCGCCGTTCACAATTAAGTTTGAAAAGGGCAGTTTAACAGAGTTTCACCTTCCAATCAAAACGGAGCTACCCTCGAATCTTCCCTCTCCTCCGTCCCTACCAAAAATCTGACCCGAATTGCCGCTCTTTCCACCACCACACAACGAGTTCCGACAATCGCCTTGGAAATTTTACACGCAAAGGCTACTACTGGACCAGTGACCATCTCGCTAAATACTTCGCCCCAGATTATCAGAGAGGTACCCTCATTCTCCTCCCCTGTAATTTCCCATCTTCACCAGCTTCCTCTGACCTTTGTGTTCGTCGGTGCCGACGATTGATAGATTGGGGAGGGCGGGAAAGGGGAACAAGTGAACCAAAAGCGGGGGAGAAAATGATAGCTTTGAACTCGCATTGTTTGCTGATCGATCACCAGAGCACCAGTTGCTCGGCTCGTCATTTCCCGCTCGCTTACTTTTCCACGATCTCTTCTTCGTCTTCCCGCCCGACACCCGGTGTTCACAGGCGAGTTGCCTCGTCCAAATCTTCGGCCCCCTCGGCGATTCGGGCGCCGGAGATCCGGAGGCCGACGGATCGGTGCGGCACGGGAAATGGGTTGGTCTCTGAACGTGGGAATTCGCCTTCCACGTCGACCTTTTACACCTCCGCTGCTGACATTACTGAGTTGGGCATGTTTCTTGAATTGGTGCCGTCGAGGATGAGGAGGGCGCTGTCCGAGCACAGAGAGATCGGGCAGTTGATCGAAGTGGTGATGGACTTGGGGAGGAACCCTCTGGCTAGGTTCCCGTCGGGAGATTGGGCTATTTCGGATGAGCCTGTGAAGCCTGAGGATCTGAAGCATGCAGTGTCAAAGGTGGGGTTCTGAAGAAAGCAACTTTCTTTCAGTTTGTTTCCGTGTTTGCAATTTCCTTGATATGGTTTGATGGGAAAGTCTTAATATGGTTAAAAACTCGAAGGACATTGTGCTTCCTATGCCAAACCAATCCAAGCTGTGAATGAGTCTATTGATAATTGGTTGTTATGTCAGAGATCAGGTAATGAGTATATTGCCTGAATATGTCTTGATGTCTGTGTTCAGGTTGGTGAGTTTTCGGATGACAACCGATCGGGAATAGACAGTTCTTTGCATCGTATAAGTGCCATCAGAAACCGTAAAATGCAAATTATAGGCCTTACATGTCGGGTGGGGAGAGCTGTTAACGGAAGTGCTGAAATAATCCGCGATTTGATTGAGGGTGGAGGTTCCATCTTGGTCATTGGTCCCCCTGGAGTTGGAAAAACCACGTTAATCAGGTAGCAATGGAAGTTTCTACTTGAGTTTACTTGAGTTGATCTCGAAATGGAAGTTTCTAATGATCATATTCATATATGCATGCATATATGTTCAAGTAAGAGTTAATCTGCTTTTACGTTTTCACATGATGCCGGGAAGCACAGAGAAATTGCTAGAATGTTGGCAGATGATCAGGGGAAGCGCGTGATTATAGTGGATACATCCAATGAAATTGGGGGTGATGGAGATGTTCCTCATTCTGGAATAGGTCGAGCGAGGAGGATGCAGGTCCCTAATGTCCATTTGCAGCATAATGTGGGTATTGAAGTTTTAACAGCTTTGGTTGTTGCTTTTGCTTACAATGATTTCCCTAGCTGAAGTTATAGTGGCTTGGTCATCCACCTCTTCATGCAGGTTATGATTGAAGCTGTGGAAAATCATATGCCCCAGACCATCATAATTGACGAGATTGGAACGGAGCTTGAAGCCTTAGCTGCAAGCACCATTGCTCAGCGTGGTGTTCAGTTAGTTGGAACAGCTCATGGAATGACCATAGACAATATAATCAAGAATCCTTCTCTGCAACTTCTTGTGGGTGGCATAGAGGTGTGTAGAAAATGTGTTCGCTTCTTCCTGGGTTTCCATACAGGGTGAAAAGATCTGCTCATCCTGAGGTTTTTTAGGCTTTTTTGGTTTTCTTGTTGACTGGAACAATTAACAATTGGATTCACTTTGGAACAGAGTGTAACTCTTGGAGATGAAGAAGCAAGGAAAAGGAAAGTTCAGAAGACAATTCTGGAGAGAAAAGGGCCTGCAACTTTTACATGTGCTGTTGAAATGATAACCCGAACTGAGTGCCGTGTCCACCATAGGTTAGATGCAACTGTTGATGCTCTACTAGCAGGTACTTTGGTACCAATCTTGGCAATTTTTCTACCAATTACAGTTTGGATCTCTACACTTTCAAGTTTGCTTTGGCTGTGCTTGAACAATACCTTTGATGTGTTATAGGGAAAAATCCTCTCTTTGAAATTCGTCGGATGGAAACTCAGGAAGATGGCTCAGTGGATTCCACTCCCATTGAAGCTCAGAGCCCTGTGGAGGCTCCAGAGGTCATCCCGGTTAATGAAGATAGAGAGTATAATGGAACGCCTGATGAGGAAGACACGGATTATCTTCCATCTGAATCAAAGAGTTGGAAAAACAGTGGATCCGTAATCAGGAAGATTGCACCAGTCTGTGTCTACACTTACAAGGTATGCCAATCTAAGTTTCTACTCTTTTGCTATATGTGTGGTGTATACAGCTTCCTGGAATCTGAAGTTGCCATGTGTCTGGGAGGGTATTGATTTGAAATTTTGAAGGGTGGTAATCAAGTTAGAAACCCGATTTCAGCACTAATTTTGCTTGTGTTGGTGGATTAGATCCTAGAAGACGATCTCTTACAAGTTGCAAAAGTTATGGGAGTTGAAGATGAGATAGATGTGACTGATGACATTGGAGCAGCTGATGCTATTTTAGTTTCCAGTTACGAAATGAAGCAGAATCCATGGATTCGTAGTATTGCTAAGTTCCATCAACTGCCCATCTTTGTCATAAAGGTAGAAAGAAACATTCTTTTTTTCTACTTCACTAAAGTGATGCATTACAAGATGAAAAGTTCTTACAATAGTGAATCACATGAGATAGTATGACCTGTGATATCGTGTTCTTCGCAGTCAAATACAATGGCACAAATGGTAAAGGCTGTTCGCACAGTTCTTGGGATGGAGTCGTTGACAGGTGGTTTACCTGAGCAGCCCCTCGAGAACATGTTTGACATAGAGATCGAAGATGATGCACCAAAAAGAAAGCCCACCTTGGAAGAAATTGATGCTTTGGAGGTGCCATGCCATGCCAACCTCTCATTTTCATTATGTTCTGAATCAGTCTTTTCAGTTATGAATTGCTGGACTGAACTCAATGTTTGATTTGCTTTCCGTTGCATCTCAGGAGGTTAGACTGGCGATAGAGTACATTGTCATCCCAGGAGGAGAACCGGTGGAGCTTCTCCCCAGGCGGTCTGAAATAGTTGCCCGGCAGCTGGAGCTTGTGGAAAGCTATCAGTTGGCAGCAGAAAACTCAGGGACAGATGCCAACCCTAGACTGCAGATTCTTCCTCTAAGAACAAGCAAGAAAGCTTCTTCTTCTTCTAAGCCCTTGAAATCTAGTGCGACCTCACAGAAAGAAACAGGTCTAACCAGCAGCAATGGAGGTACCAGTGTCAGCAGGCTGCCATTACTGCCGGAGTAACAGTGCTGCTGCCCACAAATTTGGGGAGCTCCATTCTCCCCAATCTCCAGCCATGTTCCAACAAGTTCATTGTAAGTTTTAACTAACCAAAATAAAATAAAATAAAAAAAAAAGTCTTGTACATTATTATTATGTAATAAGCACTGATGATAAAGTTGTTGTAACAATATCATCACGGCTGTAAGAATGTAATCTAATTTTTTTTAATGAACTGTACAAATGTAATATAATGTTTAATATCATAATCAACTGTACAAGTTGTTGTAAAAATATCCCATATTAGTATTTCGGGTTTTTTTCAAGATAAGGCAAAAAGAAACCCATTACAAGATCGACGACAACATGTGTTGCTCTCATTAAGCATGTTGTGGAAACATCCTCGTTTATGTTCCACTGTTTCCTCCACTCACACTCAAATACGTGAAGAATATTTTTCACAAACTATATAACACAAATTGTCCAGCGACATTGTGATGTTCACATAAGACTCAAATACCAATGTTAATTCTTAGAAAAGGTAAATGGATTGGATTTATGGATGTGGTTACATGGATCGTGAATTTCAACCGTATTCAATTTTGGATAATATATAACACAAGAGTTAGGTACTAACTTTAATAGTAAAAAAACTTTGCGTAGCTAAATTAGACTTTTTGAAGCAGAGTTTTGGTAAGAAAATAAATGCTTAGGTACTGAAGTTTACATTATAAAATCTAGAGGTACCGACTGTCTCGGGGAATAATTCTTTGGGCTTCAATCTGGGTCGGTGGGAAAAGCCCAATCTCTTAAAAGGGCTGTGAATCGTGAGAAGAAGGTGCAAACTGCAAAGCAAGCACCCAACTCCCAAGCAGGACGCACGTCGCACAGTGAAAGAAAAAAGAAAACAGAAAAAAAACCCAAATTGGAACTGAAGGTGAAGGATCATCTCTCTCATTTCTATTTTTAGGGTTTCTGCTTCCACTATCGATCGGCCTCCTCCTCTGATTGCTACGGGTTGTTGCTGGTTTACGTGACAGGGCGAGTGAGATGGCTGCCAAGGAAGATTATCGAATTTTCGTGGGAGGTTTGGGCTGGGACACGTCTGAACGCCAGCTCGAGAGCGCCTTCAGCCGTTTCGGCAAGATTATCGACTCTCAGGTGCCCTTTCCCTTTTTCTTGATTTTGTTGATCTTGCTTTGCTTGATTCGCAGTTTTGAGTTCGGTTGTTGTGAAAGTGAGCTTAACGAGAGCGGAAACTATGCAGTTTATGTGCTCCCATGTTGGGTAATTCGTGGCGGTTAATAAAATTAGGAACTTTAGGAGATGTGCTAGTGACTTGTACCGAGAAATATCTATCGCTAACATTCATCTTCTCTTCCTTTTCTCCCCAGTTATCCTAGTGCTACTGCATTTATTGATTCCTGTGGGATTATAGAGATCCTTGTCATTTCTGTGAACGGCCATACTGGTTAGAAGGGTGTTTCTAAAAACATCCATGTATTGGCATTCCCGTGTGGTTTCTGATTTTTTCGAACGCATAATACTTTAGCTCGCTTCTACGAATGGCTCTGCTGACTAACCCATTGCTCTTTGCAACTCGGTGTGTATGGTTGATTGAACTTCTTTACTCTTTCCTTTCTTCTCTCATCATCTTATTGTTTTTGTTGTTTCATCTGGACTTTCTCGTGATGATGTTTTGAGAATTGATGCTGCTGTATGATAAGAGAAAAGTTTTGGGGGTACAGTTGTCTGAATCAAGCTGCTGAAGTGCTTTGGGATAGGTTAAGTGAAAGTTGTTATATAGTGTTTCAAGATACATGAGTCAGAGACGCCAGTTGAAATTGTGTAGCTTCGTTTGTTGTATTTGAGCATCACGTGTGTTGTTTCTGTTAGAAGAAGAAATGCGGTTTGACAGTTGTACAGCTTGATTGCCGAGTATGAGGTTTGCTGGTGTCATATGGTTTGTGCCACCCTTGAATGGCTTACAAGGCGCCGAGAAATTTGATTTGCATGTTCTCTGATAGCAGAACGTTCAGTGTTTGTGACGGCGCGTCCTCATCTTATGGAAGCGGTTTTGTTCTCTGTTGTGTATTAGTTGGACAAAACAATTGTCAGTTTTCACATGGATTGTGCTGGACCTTCTCAAGCTTGGGAGTTGCGTCAGGCCAATTGCTGACTTGGTCAATAACCTTTCTTGATTGTTTCCTTTCAGCTACAGTCCAGTGATCCTTATCATATCCCCTCTTTAGGATTGCTTCATACTGTGACCTCATTGCGTTTTAGCCCTTTCCTGCAACGACCATCAGAGAACCATTGACTCTGATGCATTCAGTTATAGTAAATACAGTATGAAGTCATCCGACCTTTTCAGAAAGTTTGGTTGGATTTTGCGTGTCAATTAAGTGAGTTTGTGATATTGCACTACACTGTCTCTGATGCAAGGGAGCCACTTGTGTCTGCCATTCGTTGAAGTCAGATGTTCTAGTGTGGGGAGATGCTTTGGGGCCAGCTTCAGGCACTAGTGCTTTTCATTCTTCTTATTGTTCTCCTTTGTCTCCCTCTGGTTTGTTGCTGCCGTCTGGAAGTGCATCTGGAAGAATCATATTATTCCATTGATGTGTAGGAACTGCTTCTGCATGATAGTGAACTGATTCAGGGATGTGTCAGCAAAAGAGAATTGTATGGTTGATAGACTACTCCAGGTTGGGCAGTCCGCCCAAAAACTGACATCAAGTAGTGGGGTTTTGATCTATGTCTCAGTCTCAAGCACTAGTATTGCGGGGCACCTATTGTTGTCTTCGTCTGAAACTCTTTCTGTGTGGTCCTTTGATTTCTACCATCTAACCAAATGTGGCCTGCTGATAATGGAAACCATGGAGCTGTCTTCTTATAATGTGCCCATCTTGCATACCTATTCAAAATTCTTGTAGACATATGGTGGTGATTATAATTGTGTTGAATAGTCGTAGGGGCCTTGTCATCTTTGTGGCCGATCAGGGATATTATTATAATATGGACTGCAGGAGCCCTACACTGTGGATAGAAACCTCGGGAGACTACTGGTCATTATTTGTCTCTGAAGTAGCTGTTAGTTTTTTTGGGCGTAATCAGCTTTTCAGATGTTATCAAGCTGTCACTTGTCGAAACTGCTGAGAGTTGTGGGATCTTTAACTTGTTAGATGTTCAGTTTTGTGGTGAAGTGTTTGTGGTTTGTCAGTTTTCTGTTTGGGTTTACGTGTTTGCTCGATGCAAGAGGTTCTTGGTTGCCTGATGGAACTTCAAAGGCGCACGGGAAGCACTTCTGCACTGAATTCTGTTTCTCTAGGAGTTGCTTGATTAGGATGTGATCTTAATAATGATAAGGTGTCAGGAAGGTTAAATGAATGCATTTCTGAAGAGTTGCATGTTGAAGAGAGTGGTAGAAATGCCTTGCTGTGAATAATTCTGAGGGGTTAAGGGTTTGAGGTTGCATATGTTACATCTGGATGGGTTTATCTAAGATATCAGGACTGGGATTTTTTATGGTATTGTTTAGGGTATCTATGAGATGTGATGACATAGAAGAGCATAATAATTACTTGGGGATTCACTGATTAGCTGGGATGTTTCTTTTGACTACAACATTGTTACGGAACTATCAATCAACGTTCTGTTGGAAACAGATGCCAGAGGCTCGCTAGTTTAGATAACAGACATGGTTTCAGGATCTTTAAGTTTCTCTGTTTATACCTTTCCACAAACAAGTTCAGATGTGTTACCAGTCCTATAATAATGCAGAGAGCGTAAGCGATCTGCTTTCTTCTATTGTGATTGCATCTGAAGCAGGTATTTTTGTTTTCTTTATGATAAAATGCTTCCGAAACATTAGAGGTAGAGTCTGTTTACTGTTCCTATGTGTTATGGAGCCTACAAGTTGGAAGCATATTCCCTTACCCATTTTGGAAAGCTTGGTGATTACATTCTAGGCTCTCTTGTGTTTGTTATTGCTATCAGCAGCAATTTCCCTGTGAACTAGATGCACTTGGATGCAAGCAGACAATTCAATATATTTGATGGATCATGTCAAGCCAATTGAAAATAGTACTCTAGACTGTCATCCTATATGCATGGCCAGCTAGTTCCCCCGCCCCCTCCTGTCTCCGTCGTAGAAAGCCGAGATTCTTATTTTGTCATGTAAAGTTGGTTTCAATTGAAGTAAAAAAAATCATGGAATCCTTTCATGCATGTCAAAAAGAATGTTTGTTTTGAAGTTTGTTGATTTTACATTATCATCTAATGTCCCAGTTGAATTGTTACTGTTTTCATGCACTGGTGTGAAGTTTTCAATTGCTAAGGATGATATTGCTTGTAGATCATGGTGGAAAGAGATACAGGACGTCCCCGGGGGTTTGGATTTATAACCTTTGCTGATCGTCGGGGAATGGAAGATGCCATCCGTGAAATGCATGGACGGGAGTTTGGGGATCGACCCATTTCTGTGAACAAGGCCCAACCTAAGATGGGTGAAGATGCCGAGCCGGGCTACAGGGGAGGAGGCTACTCTGACAATCGCTATAAGGGAGGAGGCTACCCATCTGGTGGCAGGGGAGGACGCTATGGGGGAGGAGATAGGCCTGTTGGACAAGATGAATGCTTCAAATGTGGGCGGCCCGGGCATTGGGCTCGGGATTGTCCATCATCAGGTGGCCGTGGAGGTGGTGGCAGTGCATTCCCTTCACGCTCAAGGTTTGGTGGCCCTGGTGCTGATCGTGAGGATCGCTTTGGAGAACGTGACCGATTCATTGATGACCGCTATGACGGTGGGCGCTATGCTGATAGGGATCGCTTTGAGAGCAGAGACAGATATGGGAGCCGCGATCGCTTCGCTGGTGACAGGTACCTTCATGTCATCATCTAAATATGGTTTGTTTTTGTATTTCGACAGTAGTCAATGGTGTATTATTTTCTTGCTGCTGTAGGTATATTTGATCAGGAAGTTTTGATTATTTGATCAACTGGACGTGCCAATACATTGTTGCTAACTGATTCAGTAAAGAAACTGAGACCCTTTAACTTGTGAATCATGTAGGTACCCTCCAGCTGGTGACCGCTTTGTTGGTGACAGGTACGGTGGTGGCTCAGATCGTTTTGGTCAGAATGGGTACGGCAAAGACAGTGCGTACGAGAGGGATGGAGGGCCACGAGGAGGCGGTGATAGGTATGCTAGTGCAGGACCGGTACGCAGCGAGAGGAGCTACAGGGATAGGCCAGGACCTTTCGACCGTCCAAGTAGCAGAGGAGGGCGTTCCTTCGACCGCTACTGAGACAATTGCTATGAGAGGTGCTTTCCTTCGGTGTAGCAGGTGCTTATGGTGGTCAGAAGAGTGTAGGCTTGTTATCTATCCCTTTGTACTGTTGTAGGCGTGTTTGGATTGAGCATCGGCGCTAGGTTTTCCATATGTGAATCCTGCTGAGATGATTGTGGTGTTCTTAGTTATTGGCTGCTGTCTGCAGTTGACATAAAGAGGTGTTCAAGTTATTGCAATTCAATTCAGGTTTTGTCCAATAATATCATCAGTCAAATACGCGTCCGTCTTTTCCGAGAAATACTTTGCTCAAATCAGAAGCTACTTCTGCAAAAACTACCGCGGCAAAACTAGCCCATGACAGTAGATAATAATCTGCATTCATCCCTATCATCTTCTTGTGGGGACAATTTTTTGTGTGGAACTGCATAGTTGGGATGTCCTTTTCAAGTTATAATGGTTGTACGAAGTAGTAGTCGTCGTCGTTTGAAAAGTCTTGCGATCAAGAAATGCTTGCCAAAATAGTGCGTCGATCGCCGGTCTCATTTCCTTTTTGTCTTCTTTCTCCGGCTACGATTTTCGAGAAATGAATTGATGTCATGGAGTTTTTGGTGTTGACTGTGAATAGTTACAGATCCAGAAATTTCATCAGGAGGTGTATTTTCAGAAATTACATTAAAATTTATTCTTAAATTAGAAACTATTCTATCAGTACAAATTAAGAAAACACCACAACGTGTTTTAATATTATGAGAAAAAAATGATAAAATACACAAAATTTGTAATGTTTAACAAATCTCTTTTGATCGTTTATTAGAAGTAATCAACCATTTTCTTCAAATTACGATAAGTCGATAACTTGTAAGTGCAAAGTAAGCTCAATCATTATATAACTATTCGAGAAAATCTTCTGGTTTTTCCCCAATCTCATGGCAAACAAACAAAAATGGGTCTTCGGGTCTAGGTCGTCGGACAGAACGTTAAAAACAAAGAGCTTGCTAATAATGGAACTCCATCGATGTCGATAAGGTCATCAGTCAATGACAGCACCTGTCGCAAAGCTTTAATTGGTTCGGCGACGGACTAAAGTCCGACGGCGGCGAAAAGTATGCATATATATGCTTCGACGCCGCCGATGATCCCATATATACATTTTTGGTCTTGTGATAGGGCCATCTAGTTTTATATTATAAAAAATTGGGTTCTTGGCTCCTGTTTTGAAGACCGGATTCCTTCCGTTCATGGCGATGCTTTGAAATGGAAGGGATGAGAGTCAAACAAAGTATCATAGTTTATTCTCTTAGCAAACAAATACGTAAAACCTGGAATTTACACAAGATATTCTATGGTTGAATTGATTCCAAGAACCCACATATCCGTTGACAGCAGCAGAGGTGTGCAACGGTTTGGTCTGTATTGGAGCAAACGAACCTTTGAAATAGACTATAATATGTTTCGGACTGAATTGATATCTGAACCGAACCAGACTGAATCGAAACGTAATATTGGTCTGATCCTTTGCTCCGAAAATATCTTTCACTATTAGACAGTAATTTTTTTTCTGAATTCGGTACGATCCGACCAGACCGTTTAAGGTCCATTCCATTCTAGCCTTTCCCCCACATGCCCACTATCCCTTACACGTCGCCGGTACAATTTCACTCTCACTTCGCCTTCCCTACCGACGTCCAAACGGCAGCCCCACACCCACAAATATCTCCAAAATTATTTTGCCTTCCTCACGGCACTAATAGTGGTCTATTTGTTTCAACTTAACTTTCACCAGAATCAACCATATGCCCAAATACACCAAAAGGACGAAGAAGAAGAAAAAAATAAAGTCTTCTCTTTTTCTCTTTTGTGCGCTCTTAGCGAACCACATGTTAGACCACTATCATCCACAATGCACTATGTCTATGGGGTCACCATAGATCGGATAGTACGCTGCGGATTATGAGTTGTAGTAGTTCGCGTCGGATTTGTAATCCTACAACTATAGAAAGTAATAATTACTATTGTAAAAAAATAAAAAATAATTACAAATCTATATTAGGAAGTGATATAAGATCCAGCATAACCTTCTCCCAACAACTCGAGTTATTGGGATCAACTGGTTTATGACAAGCGTGGTGGGCCCATAACCCATAGGTCCCTGGATCGTAACCAGACTCTGATACCATGATAAATAGTACGAAACATAATCTCCTATTCCCGTGGATGTAAGCCTCACACACTGTGAGGAAGAACCACGTAAAATCGTTCTCTCTATTTCGTACTATTTATCAGAGTCAGCTAACATTAAATTCTCCTCTCCAGCTAGCTGAAGATCCTTTTTTTTTTTTTTTAATCACACTCAGCTCTCTTCTTGTCTCTCTATAAAAATCTCCACCCAAACTCCCAACTCCCAAACCTTTCAACTAGACAACAATAAACGAGATAAAAAACGTATTACACCATGGTGGCCGCCGGCGACATGAGGAGCCTGACCGTCCACACCGTGAAGGGCCGGTGGTTCATGGTCTTCGCCTGCCTCCTCATCATGTCCGCCGCCGGCGCCACCTACATGTTCAGCCTCTACTCACCCGACGTCAAATCCTCCCTCGGCTACGACCAGACCACCCTCAACCTCCTCAGCTTCTTCAAGGACCTCGGCGGCAACGTCGGCGTCCTCTCCGGCCTCATCAACGAGGTCACCCCGCCCTGGGTCGTCCTCTCCATCGGCGCCGCCCTCAACTTCTTCGGCTACTTCATGATCTGGCTCGCCGTCACCGGCAAGCTCACCCACGTCAAGGTTCGTAAAATCCTATCAAAAGTCGTACCGAAAAAAATAAATCGCAACTCAAAACCCTTTCAGACCGCTAAAAATTGCCTAACAGTTTAAACCGCTAATACGATACGATTTTTTTTTTAAATTATAAATCAGGTGTGGCAAATGTGCCTCTACATCTGCGTGGGCGCGAACTCCCAGTCGTTCGCCAACACCGGAGCGCTCGTCACGTGCGTCAAGAACTTCCCGGAGAGCCGCGGCGTCGTTTTGGGGATTTTGAAAGGCTACGTGGGCCTTAGCGGCGCGATCATCACTCAGCTCTACCACGGATTCTACGGCGACGACTCCAGGTCACTCATCCTCCTCATCGCCTGGCTCCCCGCCGCCGTCTCCTTCGCCTTCCTCGCCACCGTCCGGATCATGAAGGTGCCGGTCCGGCACCCGGACGAGATCAGGGTCTTCTACAACTTCCTCTACATCTCCCTCGGCCTCGCCGGGTTCCTGATGGTCATGATCGTCCTCCAGAAGCAGTTCCGGTTCGACCGGGGCGAGTACGGCGGCAGCGCCGCCATGGTCCTCGTCCTGCTCTTCCTCCCCCTCGCCGTCGCCGTCCTCGAGGAGTACAAGATCTGGAAGGACAAAAGAGTCATTCCGCGGTTCTCCGGTCCGACCGGACCGAAACCCGTACCCGAACCGGTCAAAATCGTTGCCACCACCACTGATGTGGTCCCCCGGGATGGGGACCACGGCGACGCGGCGGGAACGTCGTCGTCGTCCTCCTGCTGGAGGACGGCGTTCCGGCCGCCGAGCAGGGGCGAGGACTTCACCATCCTGCAGGCCCTGTTCAGCCCGGACATGCTGATCCTGTTCCTCGCCACGACCTGCGGCGTCGGCGGGACCCTGACCGTGATCGACAACCTCGGCCAGATCGGGACCGCCCTGGGCTACCCGAAAAAATCGATCAGCACGTTCGTTTCGCTCGTCAGCATCTGGAACTACCTGGGCCGGGTCGGGTCGGGTTTCCTGTCGGAGCACCTCCTGACCGCGTACAGGTTCCCGCGACCCCTGATGTTCACCTTAATCCTCCTCCTCTCCTGCCTCGGCCACCTCCTGATCGCGTTCGACGTCCCGGGCGGGCTCTACCCGGCGTCGATCGTGACAGGGTTCTGCTTCGGGGCCCAGTGGCCGCTCCTGTTCGCGATCATATCGGAGATCTTCGGATTGAAGTACTACTCCACGCTCTACAACTTCGGGTCGGTGGCCAGCCCGATCGGGTCGTACCTGCTCAACGTCCGGGTGACCGGTTACCTGTACGACAAGGAGGCGAGGGAGCAGCTCGAGGCGTCGGGTCGGGTCAGGGAACCGGGTCAGGACCTGAATTGCGTCGGGTCCAAGTGTTTTAAGCTGGCTTTTGTTATAATCACGGCCGTGACATTGTTCGGTACGCTTGTTTCGCTGGTTCTGGTGGCGAGGACGAGGAAGTTTTACCGGGGTGATATTTACAAGAGGTTCCGGGAGGAGGCGCCGGCGCCGGCGCCGGTGGAGCAGGAAATGACGGTGGCGGAGGGGAAAGTGAAAGATAGACAAGAGGACTAATTATTTAAAGTGTAGAGATTGACGTGTGGGAGAAAAGATGGGGAAGAGAAGACATCACGGAAGTTGTCATTTGTCAAACTCCATTAGAGATTAATTTAGTGTCTCATCATTCGCTCTATGGTGATTTGATTTGCATAATCATGGTGGTGGTGGTGATGACGAACTTTCCTTAACCTCCTACCTACTAATTAACCCAAAATGTATGGAGAGATCTTTCACCAAATGTATGAAGATTGAAGACATAACGTAATGTGGGTGTGATGGTTAGAATGTAATGGAGTTGTATAATGATGGGCATATACAGACATTTGATAGCTACACGTGATAGAAACATGGATTTCGGGCACCGGTGATTACTCGTAATCGAATATAATAGAAGGGGTAATCGAATATAATAGAAGGGGTTTAGGAATTGGGTAGATAGATCGAATTAGGGATCTGAGAAGAAGAAGCAAAAATTGTGACGGGATGGACATAATTGGAGATTGGAGATTTAGAGGAGAAAATTGAGCATAGTAGGGATAGAATGACCCATGACCTTAGGGTTAGGGGGAGGATAGATGGGGACCGAATGGTCAATGGCTTTAGAGATAATTGTTTTGCTATTCTTCTTTCGTAATTCTAACGAAATATGAAATGTACATATACAGAGGAAAATAATCGAAACCCTAGCTATTAGCTAATAATAAAAATAATCCTAGGCTCCCAGCTAACAAACTGAAACACGCAAGTGAATATATATTTTATAACAATAATGATATCGGCAGGTTTTAATTATAAAGTTATCGATAAAATGATAAAAGTAATTGCTTGGGAACGATGATGGGATACAAATGTGAAAAGACCACTAAATCAAATATGTTTCATCACACGCAGATCATGCTATCGTATAATCCGCCAACTCTTATGTAGTCTAATCAATTAAAATGATTAACTTGTGTCAACATAATTAATAGCTGAATATATGGTATCACAAGGAATGGAAAATGCAACTATTTTGGGAGAGCTTATCATTGGACTGTATTTTTCGAAAATATCAAATATTTTTTTGCTAACAATTTGGACATATTCTTACTACTGCGCAATTGGGATATGCAATTGGTACTTGTTGTGACTTGTGACTGAGTTCCCTGAAATGTGACCGACCGATCTGGGGGCATATCATATGCACTTGTATTATTGTCCTCGATTTCCGATTGTGCAAACCTCATTCCTCATAGTGAATCGTTTAGCTATTGTTGGAGGGACACTAGCTGGTGGTCGCATACTCCCTCATTCATCATATTCAAGTTTCTCGTGACAACGAAGGACAACGTTGCCCTATTAGCCGTTGCAACCGAAGGATAATACTAGGAGTGTGCAATGATCCGATCCGTATCACACCGATATTAAAACCTGACCGAGTATAATGCGGTTTGTTCTTTGGTCCTTCTGAATTTTATAAATACTGAAGAAATGATGTACTGAGCTGATATTTGGACTGGACCGACCAAGACCAAATGGACCAAATATAAAGATGGTTAGTTCTTTGGTCCTAAAATGTCTTTTAATAATGGACCACGGTTCTCATTGATCGGACCGGACAAGCCGTTGCACAACCCTAGACAATACTGTTATGGGCTAACAGATATCCATTGTAAATGAGTATTGTGAGAGGATAGTCTTTGTTTTTAAATGTGAGAGGATAGTCGTAGCATTCTCTGACCTATGAGAAATAATGACTATTGACAACGGAGAAGATTTTTTTTCCCCGTTGAATCAGTTGCCCTCATCTTATTAATCAGAAACTAGCAAGCTGTTAGGAGAACCAAAATACAACGAAATGGGTATTTCAAGGATACCCAAAAGTCTCAAAATCCTCAACTGACCACTACTGCTGGCTACAATTACTACTACTTACAGAAGCTTTCAACAAAGAACTCGAGCAAAACTCAGAAAAAAACAGCACGAGATGCCAACACATGCTAGTTCTTCAAGTATGCACCTAGCTGCTCCAATTACCAACAGATCACTCTTGATCAGCCCCTGTAGTTCAGCAACTGAACGAGAAGGCTCACCATGTTTCTGCCTGCATCTTTCCTTCGAGATGGAAGCCACCAGGAAGCACCAAACCATCCCTGCAACATAACCATTCCTCTGTTTGCAGAAATCACAAGCAGCAGCCACAATAGCAGGCCAGGATGTTTGGTAAAAATCAAGAGAACATAACCCCTGCATTACCCCTCTTGCATACGAGCATTGGAAAAACAAATGCTCCCTAGATTCCTGTCCCTGCTTACACAATACACAAACATCATCCACAACCTTTCCCCATTTCAATAGTTTATCAGAGGTGACAATTCCATCCTGAAGAATCGTCCATGTGAGAAAATTGTTTCTAGGAATGAAACCGTGTCCCATACAAGTTTATGCCACTCCACAACAGACCATTTAGGTCTAATTGCCTCCCAAACCATACTTAAGCAGAACCTAGGCATAGGGATCTGATTCCAAAGGACTGGGTCCCCCTGCATAGAGAACTGCTGCTGTAGCACACTCCGAGTCTTCAGAATTCGTCGCCAGGCCCAAGAGCCACTTGAGCCGGACCTTATTGTCCAGATTCAGCCTTGTTTGATCTTGTAGGTCCTTATCCAAGCCACCCAAATCGTCCCACTTTGCATTAGGAGCAGCCATAACATGCGAGCAGTACAGGCTTGGTTCCAGGAACAGAGTTCCTTTAAACCTAAGCCTCCCTCTTTCTTGGGTCTAGTCATTCTGTCCCATCCGATTCTGACCCTTCCCTCCTCATCACCATGCCACAAGAAGCATGAGCAGATTTTTTGTACCTGCTTCAACACCTTCTTTGGGAGCAGGAAAACTTGCATCCATTACTGCAGAACCCTCATTAATACAGAAGCAACCAATTGGAGACAACCAGCATAACTAAGCCGCTTGGCCCTCCAAGACTTGATTTTTTTAGTGATCTTTGCTACTAACTTCTCACATTCCAAAGCAGAAAGCTTACCAGAGATCAATGGAAGACCCAAATATCTCACTAGGAGTTCCCCCTCCTGAAAACCAGTCACTTGGAGCGCCCTGCTCTTAAACATCACAGACATACCCCAAAATAAACCTCACATTTGGTGGGGTTGCACTTCAGACCAGACAAAGATAGAATTCAGAGAGCGTCTCCTGCACCCTAGAGATGGCAGTCCCTGACCCTCTGTAAATATCAAAAGATCATCAGCAAAACTCAGATGAGTAAGCTTCACTTTTTTACATTGTGGATGGTATGACAACCGCCCAATAGCAGCAGATTCATTTAACAATAACGAGAGTCCTTCCATAGCAATGGTGAAAAGGTAGGTTGAAAGAGGATCACCCTGCCTAACCCCCTTTTGTGCACCAAAATAACCACACAGACCACCATTGATACTAATGCTAAACCTTGCTGTTTTTACTGTCAATTTAATTCAATTTAGAAAACAAGCTGGAAATCCCATAATTCCATCATCATAAACAGATAAGACCAGTTAACCGAATCAAAAGCTTTCATGAGATCCACTTTGATAGCACGGCGAGAAGATAAATATTTTATGTGATAACCACTAACAAGCTCATGTGCCATTAAAATGTTGTCTACTATTCTCCTCCCCTCAATAAATGCTGACTGGTTACCACTAATTATCTTAAGAAGTACTTTCTTTAGACGATTAGCCAACACCTTAGCAATAATCTTATACAAGATATTTATGCAAGAAAAAAAAATTGGCCTAAAATCTTTGAGGGCACATGCTGAAGGGATTTTAGGTAATAGAGAAACAACAGTGGCATTAACACTACCTGGTAATCGCCCTGGTAATCGCCCAGAGGAGAAGAAATCCAGCACTCCCGCAAGGACATCAGCACGAATGATTGGCCACGCCTTTCTGTAAAAACCTGCTGAAAACCCATCAGGGCCAGATGCTTTATGTGGGTTCATGTGAAGCACAATAGCTTGAATTTCTTCCTCAGTGACAGGATTAGTGAGAAACGAGACCTCCTGAGCACCTAATCTGTTATTTTTAAGATTGGTTTATTTCGTAAAATAAGGGGTAATATCTGTTTTTTATTCAAACATTTTTCATATTCTTTTATATCATTCAAACCTATTAAAATGTTATTAATTAGTCAAATCTTTCTTAATGTATCAAAATATTAGCCATTTTTTCGTTATCGTTAATAATTTTGTAACTCTTTTCTTAGTTAAAATACAAAATTTTGGAATATTGACATTCATGTGTCTCTTTCAAGTCTGTATCATGTTGCCAAGTCAATATTACTAACAAAATTGCTAACTGGAAGTTAACATTTGATTAATTTTTAGTATTTTGATAGGTTTAACTAATAAAAAAAATTCAATTTTTTTGGATAATACATAGTCATTACCCATAAATAAAATATTTCTTACAAAGACTATCCCATCCGATACCAATAAATGTGTTACCATTTCAATAAAAAAAATTATTACCGATCGTTAAATTCATAGTTCCACAACTTATATAAAAATACAACAACTAATCTTATCTTAACTTATATTATGGTTGTTTTGCAGAAAGATTGTGCCACATCAGCATTTGCTCATCCCACATCACTTCTAACATATAATAAAACCATGCGGCTAATCTAATTACTTTCTCCATTTAATCCATCCGCTCATTGGGCCTTTCCTCTGGTCCAATAGAATTACTTTCATCCTCTCTTAGCAGCTAAAAGTTTATTTTTAAACTGTGTAGAAAGTAAAAACGACCCAAAGACCCAATTGGCCAATTCCCTTATAAAAGAAAATTTAATAATTGGAAAATGAAGTATACATAAACAAACTTAACACATAATCGGTTCATTATTCCACACAACTATCAAACTTAACACAATTTTTAATATATTTTATGTTTAGAGCATTCTTCTATACTTTAAAGTATTTGTGCTTTAAAATAGAACTTGAAGTTGTAACATAACTTTTAAATATACAAATTGAAGTTATACCATAAGGGTGGGTTTGGATAAATGTATTTTAAATGTAAGGTATTTGAAATACTAGCATTTGAAATGGATGTATTTGAAGTATTAGCATTTGAAATACATGTAATTCAAATTCATTGTTTGGATACTCATTTGTAATTTGTTTGTATTTTTGTATTTATGATTTTCAATTTCAATTTTTAATTTTCTGGCCACTTACTACAAATTTTGGTAAATTACAGTTTGGTACCCCGAAATTATTTTTCTTACAATTTAGTACCTAAACTTTTAAAATTTTACAAAAAGGTCCTGAAATTTAGATGGTAAAATTACATTTTGGTACCTTTATATGTTTTGCCTCACACTATAGTACCTAAACTTTTCATATTTTACAAATAGGTCCATTCTTTTGTTAGGAGGTATTTCAAATCACTAGTTGTTGAAATGTATTTGAAGTTGACAAAAAATACACTAGACATGTATTTGGAAATCACCCCATGAATTTGATACAAATCCAAATACCAAATGTAATTAATATCCAAACACATGATTTGGTATTTGAAAATCCAAATCACAAATCCCAAATCCAAATCCTTGTATCCAAACGCACCCTAAGGAAATTTGAACTTTATGTTATCGTACAACTTCAAGTTGTACAATAACATAAAAGTACAACTTTAGTTTGTACCATAAATGAATTTATATAAAAGCGTATAGATATAACCTTAGGTCGAACCATAACGTTAATCGTACAACTTCAAATTGTACCATAAAGATAAAAACTAAAGCATCAATGTTTTAAAGCATTGTAAAATTCTTCTTTCGTTTAATCCATAACCAAGTTAAAAAGCAACCTCCTGTAACCAACTGAATACGCAAACGTTTAGAAACCATAGGATCACATACAAACGAATATTTTATAAATATTATGTGGGAAAACTACAGTAATTTCGGTATAATTATCTATTAGATAATTTGCTCAAATCTGAACCATTAAAATATTACCTAATCAGTTCAGGTAGTAACATTTTACATCTATCACATAAGATAAGTATACATTATGTACCCATTAAATAATGCATGTTGTTTCAAAAAAAAAATGCATGTTGTATTTTAAGAAATATGACCTGTGAAACCTGTTATGGCAGGTAAAATAATTCAAGTTACCTTTTGTAGGAATTTCCAAAATGATTACTCACTTATAAATGTGAGCATGAAATAATAATAGACGCATAGTAATCCTCTGGTATCACAAACGAAATAAACAACAATACCAAAATTTATGGGTTGAAAAGAATATATAATTTGGAGTTTCAAAGCAACTCTTTTGGGTATGCTTTGATTCGTGTAGACTTACACATGTGAATTTTTGTATTGTGGATCATATACATATGATTTACATGAAAGTGTTTATTTGTAATGTCGATTTGTGTAGTATAATTAATTCTTTTTTTTCTAGAACAATTTGAAGTTTGAGTTGAATTGAATGATATATAGTTTACTAAAAGTTAATGAGAGTTGGGTGGAGGTTATGTATTGCACATAAGTTAGAGCTTCCGCATGTAAACTACTCTCGACAATCTTAACAACAATTAACCTTAGTCTTAAAAAAGGTAAAGAAGAATTCACATAATTTGTTGACTTCTCTCGCTTACTACTGTTCAGAAAATATAATTTTTGCTTCTGGCATTTTTCCTCCAACAATGCAATCCTCTTTCTATATACATTTGTATTTTGACTATGTTGTTGTTCGTAAATTATTAAAATTTTATTGTCCCCTGAGTTTTGCTTCTATTTCTTCATTGTTGATCTGGGAATAATTTGAAAACCACAGGTCACCAAATTTTTTTAGAAATATGTACTTCAACTTTGCTCAAGCTGCCATCATTCTCAAATTTATTTTGCACATACCTCAGATAGATTTGCACAATCTAACCTCTCCAATAGATTCTCAATAGTAAATCTTCATGTTCCAATCAAAATACATCCATTACTTTATGTTTGCCACTAGCTTAGTTATGTGTTTGTTAGAATGTCTATGAAGAAAATCGTCTACAAGGAAGAACATTACAATTACAGTTAGTACCTTTCCTTTTCGGGTCGTTGGTTATTGAACTAAAATTGGACTGTAATATGAAGAGAAACTAATATTTTGTTTAAATATTAAAAGTTTAAAGGTAATGCAGAGCTAAAATAGTGTGGGGTGTAGGACTGAAACTACAAATTGATTATAAGACAAATCAATCTTTCACTCTTGAACCTCCTTCAACTAAATATCAATGTTGTGTTACTAAAATGTGAAAAATAAAAAGTACATCCCGTAAAAAAAATTATGCCCCTCTTAAAGTTTTAATTTTTTGTAAAGAAGGTAAATGCGAACTTTCAGTCACTTGACATGCCCATCAAATCCTTAAAGTTTTATTTCCATCAAACGAAAAAGTTCTAAAACATTATTGAGTTGAGAGTATTAAGATTGTAATCATATCTTCAAATTTAGTCATATGTGTAGTAAGATTGATTGCAGTTTGAATGATGAGCGCGATTTATTCCTACTTTTAATTGAGGGAAAGTTACCATCAATTTGACGATTTAGTGTCACAGAAGATACATATCCCACGTTTGATGAGTTCTACATTCATCAAAAGGAGAAATAAATTAAAAATCCACTTTATTCAATCATGATATATGATACTTTAAAATCTATACGTAACGTAAGTTGTTGTCACCGAGTTGAAGAAATGCCTGATGCTTTTAATATTTGGTTTAGACATTTAGTATTAGATACAGAAAAGATAAAACTAAAAAAAGACCATGTATAACTTATGAAATTGATTTTTTTTTTGTCAATCAAAGATCGTATGGTCGTAAGTCTTATAATTTGACATTATTGTTTATAATGGTTAAACATGTACTAAATGTGACAAACCTCCCATTATAAAATACTCGGATATTAGATATCAAGAATAAATATTAAATAAGTAAAAATAAACTAACATCATTGAAAATAATGTCAAAAAACAAAGAAGAACACCGCCCATCGAGCGGGCACAAAACTAGTATACCTAATGGTGATTTGCATAACTTTTTTCTCTTTTTTTCTGATGGGGATTTTTTTTTTTTGGTCATACGGAAGGACACTGATCGAAATTTTCAAATTTGCATGTAGATATTTTGGTGCGATTTGACCTATTGGCCCACGAGAAAGAAAAGCAATGCAGTGGCCCAGCGCAGCGGTGAAAAAGGCAACTTGGACTTGGTCCCCAGTATCCAACTACTTTTCATTTTTTGTCGGAAGTCGGAACAGATCCTTCGAGTTGGGGAAGAGGATGTTACATGGGCTTCAGGCCCATGGTCGTTCGATATCTGGCCCAGAAAGACTTCTGTTTGGGATGAGTACAGGATTCTTTTCTACGAGTGTATTCCCAAGCGTTGAGTTTTTACTTGGGTTAGCCGTTAGTGGCTAAATTGGCGCATAAATTAAAGTACTTCGTAAAGCGCAATTAAGCCATGACAATTTTGATCTGACCCGATTTATCTGACATGTTTGGCCTGTTTTGGGGCGGGTCAGACCCGCTTCGTAGGCGGGGCGGGCATGGGTATCTCTCATCGACCCGACTTGCCCTGACCCGCCCCATTCTCGACCCGTTCTTGCCTAAATTACATATAATCTTAGTCAAATTACTTAGGATTCTCCTCTTATTACATTACATTTTAGCTATAATAAAGTTATAATTAAGTGAAAACCTCAATTTCTTCAATAATTTAATTAGATTTTATCATATTATGGTTTCTTTCTTGGTCTTGTAATGAAAATAATGAATATTTCTAATGTTTTTGACATAAATTGCATACCCATTGGGTCGATCTACCCCGACCCACGCCCCGTAATAAATTACCTGACCTGGACCCGACCTGCCATGGGGCAGGTATGGGTATCGAGATACCCGCCCCGGACCCGCCCCATTGCCATTCCTAGTTGTATATGACGTTTTAAACAAATTGACCCTTCTAAATAACACCCCCTTAGATATTTGCTAAATAAATGAGTTCGAATAGTGATTCGCCATATTATAAAGAGACCAAAATGCCAGGGACTTATCGTAATGCAAGATGGTGGGCCATAATAAGGGTGGGGGATTAAACAGCTAATACCATCGAAATCACGTAGTTTGTCAATACGTTTTTGTTTGACCCATCTAGCTCCGGATCGAACAATGATATTTGTTGGTGTGGGGTTGACTCACGATCCGTTCGTCTGATCTCGTCGGGAGGGAGAGAACCTGTGAAAGAGTCGGGGATGCCCCCCGGATTAAGCTCCGACGGTCAAGTTAGTGTCGGTTTATGGAGAGAGTTGAGAGAGTAGATAGAGAGATGAAGTGTAGAGAGATAGCAGAAAGTGTAAAGTGAGGAGAGAGGAGAAGTCCCCTTCTTTGGAGGGCTTCCAGCCCTTATATACCTGTAGCGGGTATCGAGCGTTGGGCATCGCCGATTATGCGCCCTACTGCTTAGTCTGTGCGCTCCGTCCCTTAGTCACACCCCCAACAATTGCCCCCCAAGCTGGTGGTGAGTTTTAACTCATCACTAGCTTATATTTTATTTTTTTAAATCTTTGTCGGTAATTTTGGGTGGGGCCTATGTACCCCAGTTGCCCCCCAGCTGGTGGCGCGTTTGAGTGACGCGGTGCCAGCTTCTTGCGTCTTGCCCCCCATTAGCGCCATTAACGCTTAGGATAGTAAAATATTTTAAAAATTTAATAATGATGGAGGGATAGAGTACTTAGCTTTATATTGGCAGTGGCGGCAGGAGTAGTTGAAAGGCAGGCGCTGCGCCATTGAAACAGAACCTGAGTGGTAGCCTGCAGGTTGTTCTTTCGAACTGGGCGCGAATAGTGCTGGACTATTGCTAATGTTTTGTTCTTTCGAACCATGCCCTTTTGCGCGAATAGTGCTGGACTATTGCTAATTTTTGTTCTTTCGAACCATGTCCTTTTGCGCGAATAGTGCTGGACTATTGCTAATTTTTGTTCTTTCGAACCATGTCCTTTTGCGCGAATAGTGCTGGACTATTGCTAATTTTTGTTCTTTCGAACCATGTCCTTTTGCGCGAATAGTGCTGGACTATTGCTAATTTTTGTTCTTTCGAACCATGTCCTTTTGCGCGAATAGTGCTGGACTATTGCTAATTTTTGTTCTTTCGAACTAGGCGCGAATGTTAAAATTCAGACGCCACACCGTTGAAACACAAGGTACTTGTGGCCTGCTGGTAAGGATGCTTGCCTGTCGGAGGAGTGGCGCGGGTTCGAAGTCTGGCGACGACTACAATTTGTTTTTGGCGCGAGTTGATGATGGCGCGGGTTCGTTGATGTGAGGGTACTGCGCCCAATGATCACCAAGCGTGCATGTAGCCTGCTGGTTGCGTTGCTTGTATAGGGGAGGAGCGGTGTGGGTTCGAGACCCGGCGGCGACTTTATTATTTTTGAGCTCAGCGCATGGGCTTCTGGGAGTGATGCGAGCCCAACGACCGCGATTCGCTTCTTCTGGGCCGCGAGTTGCAGGCGCACCAGTGGGCCGCTAGTCTGATTCGCTTCTTCTGGGCCGCGAGTTGCTGGCGCACAAGTGGGCCGCTAGTCTGAGAGGCGGAGGCGGTGTGGTCATGAGCTTGGGACGCGGAGTGGTTGCACGCGGCCAAGGTGATGGCTGCCCACTGAGTTGGTGCAGAGCGGGCAGCGCGCTGGTGGGCTGAAATGGACGCGGGCCTGGCCGCGTTATGGTGGGGATTAAGAGCAATGGACGCCCGCGCGGGGGGCTAGGAGCGCGACGTCATTTATGGTGGTAATGACCGGTATTAACGGAGTTGTGGCGGGTTGGAGAGGTGGGCCGCAAGCTTGGGCGGTAGTCAGAAGTGGGCTCGGGGACGCGACTTGGATGACGTCCCATGTTGAGCGTTGCTGTTGAGGCGAGTGAGAGTGGATAGATAGGGCGCGCTGCGCTTTAGTAGCAACAATGCTATGTAGTCTGCTGGTTAGCATGCGCATGTGGTGGAGGAATGACGCGGGTTCAAGTACGGATGGCGGCAATATTTTTTTATGAGCACGCGAGTTGGTGTCTGTTGGATTTGGCGCACCCGATCAGCATAGTAGACTGGGGCCCGTGAGTATTGGGCCTGATCCGCGAGTTGGGAGCACGCGGGCTCGTTTGCGTCGCGGAAACACCTCGAGGCGGGCGGAGGAGCAAGGCTTGAGGCGCGGATCTGCATTAAAGAAGTGGGCCGCGAGTTGGCGGGCCGATCCCCCAGCTGCTAAGTGACGCGGAAGTGGGCCGCGGGCTTGGATGGGGCGGACCGGTAGTGTGGCAGCGGGCCTAGGGTTTGGCTCACGGGCTTTGAAGAATTCTTCCTTTGTCGATCAGATAGAGAGCCCCGAGATAGCTGGTCGCGCGGCGGTTGACGATGGCGGAGGCCAAGGTATATCACTCGCCTCGATATTCGTGTACCTCGATTTTTGCGCCCATATGCCTTTTCTGACAAACGGTGTAAGTAGTGGTAGAGTGTTTTTTGGGCAAGCTGTAGGACGACCCTTGACAGGCTGATGGAGACTGCGACCGGACTTCTCCCTTGTTCTTCGTAACCCAACGCCGGTCACAACCCCGGTCAAAAATGTCGCCGGAATACAGCTGCCTTTTCTTCTTTTTGATATGCAGGTTCGAAAAGAGTGGCATGTGGAGGGGGGAAGAGTGCCATTCCGCCGCCGGAGAGGATGAGCTGCTTGGCGACAACCGGCATAGGATCGGATGGCTTGGAGACGAATATAGTAGCAGGTGATATTTCATCATCATTTTTTTTTTTTTTTTTGAAACGGGGCTTCATCTTGTTTCCCTCTCTTCGACCTGTAATTTTGTGCTGCTCTCAGAACTGAGTTGCACGACATTTGCAGCCTCGTCGGGAATGGATGGGTTCGCCGGAATCTGCGTTTGCTGTTCTTCGTTCATCAATTTTTTGTTTCTTTCTTTTTCGTTGCTACCATCTGATTTTGTTGTGCTTCTCTTCTTGCTACTGGGTAAGTGGGGAACCTGGAGCAATGAAGGTAGATGGGTTTTGGACAGATTTGGGAACCCCCTTTTACTCTCCTCTGCGCCCAGATCTTCTTATTTCTTTGCTCTGTAGTTTCCTTCATTTTTGTGTTGAGGAATCCCCACCCTCCTTCGGAAACCAAACAAGCCAGAATCAAAGTCAATGCCCCACGGTGGGCGCCAATTGTTTGACCCATCTAGCTCCGGATCGAACAATGATATTTGTTGGTGTGGGGTTGACTCACGATCCGTTCGTCTGATCTCGTCGGGAGGGAGAGAACCTGTGAAAGAGTCGGGGATGCCCCCCGGATTAAGCTCCGACGGTCAAGTTAGTGTCGGTTTATGGAGAGAGTTGAGAGAGTAGATAGAGAGATGAAGTGTAGAGAGATAGCAGAAAGTGTAAAGTGAGGAGAGAGGAGAAGTCCCCTTCTTTGGAGGGCTTCCAGCCCTTATATACCTGTAGCGGGTATCGAGCGTTGGGCATCGCCGATTATGCGCCCTACTGCTTAGTCTGTGCGCTCCGTCCCTTAGTCACACCCCCAACAGTTTTGTTTTGAGATTTAACCGCAATCGGACCGAAGAAGGAATAACTGATCAACTGGCCGAATTAACAATTCAACTACGCCTTCACAACATGCTGTAGCATCTTTAATCAATAGTTTCTAAGTATAATCAATTGAGATTGTGAGTGAATGACGTAAATTCCAAAAATCAATAGGCACTTGAGCTTTCAACCATACGGTTTCCGAGTCATAGATCGCAATGCACTACTCATGATTATTCACTCACCCCACACCGCCGACCAGTGAATGGCAAATGGGAAAAATCAGTGAAGCAAAGCCCAAGCCCAAAAACAACCGACGACCCCAAAGGCCCAAACTCAAGTCAATTTCAACAACCTAACGCAACTCCAACTCGCAATAACCTTTGCCCCAAAAATAATAATAATAATAATAACAAAAAAAAAAAAAAAATCGCCTGGACCTGCCTGCAACCTCCTCCCCGTACACGTGTCGCTCCCTCGACCCTGGACCGTCTATAAATACCGAAATCCCCCACCTCTCTCCACAAACCCCTAACGCCCCATCGTCGCCACCACCACTTCTTCTTGCCGCCGTACCGTCACAGCCGCTCTGCCCCTCCCTTTTTTTGCCGCACTGCGCAAACCCTAGATCTCGCACCCACCAACACACTCTCTCCAGATCTCTCTGTTGTCTTTCAGGTGATTGCTTCTCTCTCCGACTTTTCCCGATGTTCCTTTTTGGTACCTTGTTCGTCCCCGTTTCTCGTTGGATTCTGATGCGATGTATTTGCTTTCGATTGTTTTGTAGAGTTCGTGAAGATGGTGTCGGACGCGAGCAAGAAGAAGGCGGCGCAGAAGAAGGCAGCGGCTGCGGCCAAGAGAGGTGGGAAGGCAGCTGCTGCTGCCGCCTCCGCATCCACGAAAGCGGGCGATTCTTCCCAGAACGGGAGCGCCGTCGACAAGCTGTCCAATGGAATTGGAGCGATCGAGATCTCCGATCGTAATTGTACGGGAGTCCTCTGTTCCCATCCGCTCTCCAGAGATATTAGGGTGAGTGGGTTTATTATCCCGTGGCTCAAGTGCGAATTTATTCTAGGGTTGAGATTTTGGGGTAATTTTATTGCGTTCGTTCTATAGTTTAAGTCATGGATGTGATGGCAGCGGATCGGGTATTCATTGCGTTTTTGTTTCGTCGGTAATAGGAAATTTGTATGCTCGTTAGGGGGGCATGTGTTGCGATTCCTGGTTCCCACTTGCTGGGAAACTGGCTCTACTTGTTCTGTCGTCAAGATTACCCCTTTTTAGTATACAATATGCCTTCCATGTTTAGCGAAGAGGATGCCTTATGGATAGTTAATGGTTACTTGATTATTGTGTTTCGTATTGGCGTAATGGTCTTGGGTCCTTCTCGTTTCTTTTTCTGTTGTGAGCAAAATGCTTCCCAAGTAGCTCAAAATGGTTTTACGATATGTAGTCAATTTATATCCCTTTTGTCATGCTGTTCTTTGTGAACATGTGTTAGTGGCTGTTATTGTCGGGCCACCGGTTGTAGGTAATGTTGCAGTTGTAGGATATTTTTCCCAATATAGAAAGAGCTAGTCTTAAATGTTTACTAACATAACTTTTTCATGGCAGATCGAGTCTTTGTCAGTGACGTTTCATGGACATGATCTCATTGTTGATTCCATGCTGGAGCTTAACTACGGCAGGTTGGTACTCCGGCCCTTCTATTTTTTTTTAATGAACATGTATTCTGAGACACTGATTGTATGTATTGTTACTTCAATTTTCTGTTTCAGGCGATATGGTTTGCTTGGCTTAAATGGATGCGGGAAATCTACGCTGCTTACTGCTCTAGGCCGTCGAGAGCTTCCCATTCCTGATCACATGGATATATATCATCTTACCAGGGAGATTGAAGCCTCTGACATGTCCTCGCTTCAGGCTGTTATCTGCTGTGATGAGGAGAGGATCAAACTGGAGAAAGAGGCTGAGGTTTTGGCAAGCCAGGTATTTAGAGTTATTGAACAATGTAACTTGTCTCTGATGTTGGTCCTTGAAGCCTCTACTTATCCCTTATTTCTTTTTTTGTCGTGGATTAGGATGACGGTGGTGGCGAAACACTTGAGCGAATTTATGAGCGCTTGGATGCTCTGGATGCATCTACAGCTGAAAAGCGTGCTGCTGAAATATTGTTTGGTCTTGGTTTTGATAAGCAAATGCAGGCAAAGAAGACCAGAGATTTTTCTGGTGGGTGGAGAATGAGGATTGCGCTTGCTAGAGCTCTGTTTATGAACCCCACTATTCTCCTACTTGATGAGCCTACTAATCATCTTGGTAAGTGTTGTGAATATAAATTCTACTGGATCTTTGAACAGAGTCAACCTTGCATGCTTAATATATTATGCATGATATGCATATCTTGCCAACCTTGAATGTATTTACACTAGCCTTAATATATATGCTTCTGTGCTGCATTGGTTCCTGTAACTCTTTTTACTAGTTTCCAGTTTAACCTTTTCTCTCGATTATGAAAATTTGATTCCTCGATACCATAGAAGAGCCCCCTCAATTGTCTAGTCCCAACTACTAGCCAAAAACTTATAAGGTCATTCGTTTTGTTTGTTTGCAGATTTAGAAGCTTGTGTTTGGTTGGAGGAAATGTTGAAGAAATTCACCAGGATCCTAGTGGTGATTTCCCATTCCCAAGATTTCTTGAACGGTGTCTGCACGAACATAATTCACATGCAGAGCAAGACTTTGAAGATTTACTCTGGCAACTATGATCAATATGTCCAAACTCGTTCCGAGCTGGAAGAGAATCAGATGAAGCAGTACAAATGGGAGCAAGATCAGATTGCTAATATGAAGGAGTACATTGCTCGATTTGGGCATGGTTCGGCCAAGTTAGCTAGGCAGGCACAGAGCAAAGAGAAGACCCTTGCTAAGATGGAGCGTGGTGGGCTTGCTGAAAAAGTTGTGAGAGACAAAGTCCTCATATTCCGCTTTGTTGATGTGGGCAAGCTTCCCCCGCCCGTGCTCCAGTTTGTCGAGGTGTCATTTGGTTACACCCCTGAAAATCTGATCTACAAGAATATTGAATTTGGGGTCGACCTGGATTCCAGAGTTGCATTGGTGGGGCCCAATGGTGCTGGCAAGAGTACATTGTTAAAGCTGATGACTGGTGACCTGCATCCTACTGATGGCATGGTTCGTAGGCACAACCACCTGAGGATAGCTCAGTTCCATCAGCATCTGGCTGAGAAACTCAACTTGGACATGTCTGCACTCCACTACATGATGAGGGAGTATCCAGGGAACGAGGAGGAGAAAATGAGGGCAGCGATCGGGAAATTTGGGCTGACAGGAAAGGCCCAAGTGATGCCGATGAACAACTTGTCAGATGGACAAAAAGCAAGGGTGATTTTTGCTTGGTTGGCTTATCGACAACCTCACATGCTGCTTCTGGACGAGCCGACAAATCACTTGGATATAGAAACCATAGATTCTCTGGCCGAGGCATTGAGCGAGTGGGATGGTGGGTTGGTTCTTGTTAGCCACGATTTCAGGCTCATAAACCAGGTGGCCAAGGAGATCTGGGTGTGTGAGAATCAGGCTGTTACACGGTGGGGAGGTGACATCATGGACTTCAAGCAGCACCTCAGAAAGAAGGCTGGGCTATCTGACTAAACTAGAGTCAGATTTGGGTGGTTGGATGGGTCGGCTACTAAATTCCTCGTCGAAGTGTAGCCTGCAGCTGCAGCTGTTGTGCTATTGTTGTGTGTACAATGCATGGCTAAAGCTGTATGTTACACAGCGTGGAACGAGGAATGGTCGTCGATGGATCGATAGATGGTGAGTGATCCTTTTTCCCAGACAACTCATCTGGCATCTCTCTGGGGATTATGCCAAACAATCTTGTAGGAGACAGCAAGCTGGAGAGGTGCCTTGAACTCATTGTTTTGAACCAATGTGGGGGCACTAAAATCCCCTGCTGCTGCTCTCACAGCTCTATTAGGTTGCTGTTAGATTATTATTGTTTTTGCGTCAGTTACTATTAGTAGTGCGAGTAGTATATTTGAGGGACTGCTGTCTGTTCTGGTTTTGAGGGAGTTGAGTTGTTAATCATCTTTTGCTGTTTGTGCTTTCTGGATCATATATTTTTATGCTATTTTATCGTACTATATGGATTGTAATCGATGAATACTTGAGAGAGACACAGACACCACACTGCTGGGTTGAATCTCATTTCTGTTATGATAGAATGATGTTTGTGGACGATTGTGTTGGCCTGCCAAAGCCGGAACAAGTCGTCCTGTGGCACGCAGAGGTTCAGTTGTTTGCTCAATGCCATACCCTTTGTGGATAGTTCAGCTACAAAGCAGGAGTTGTTTGTTGTTCTGTCTTCAGACAACTGGTTTTTCAGTTTTGGTAACTACATCATGGTCTACCTTTTCATGTTGTTAGTTACTCACAAGACAAGTCGGGCTTTTGTCCATTATGTTAGTTAAGATCGTTGGTATGAAAAACAAAAAGGAAAGCAAGATGGGACATTTTACTATTAGCTGTTACTATTATTTTCCCCTGTTGTTGTCTAATGCGAAAGCGAAACAGTGAGCATAAGCAAATAAAAGAAAGCAAGATTAATAAATGAGGAAAAGGGTAGACAAACGGTATGACACTGAGACATGCCAAACTAACAATCAGCACTTTCTATAGCCTTTTCCTGGAGGGGAGATGAAGAGAAAGGGAGAAATTGTGATAAAGAAAGGCAAGTGAAAAGGGTGGGGAGCCATCAGCCCTGGGAGGTTGGAGGTGGGTTCCTTAAAATAGGAAAGAATATGTATTGTGCAGCGCAACTATAAAATGAAAAGCAGCCTGAAGAAGAACTAACCACATAAATTGGTGCTAGCCTTCTTTTCTTTTTGTCCTTACATGCACCAAACAATGGAAAATGCCCTACCGATATGTTTGGGTTTAATATAGGGCCGGAAGTTTGGTATTGGTATTTGAGATATATTGAATATCGTACCGAATTTATCACTATTTTGTATTACCGAATATCGTACAGAATTTATAAGGAATTGAGATCTGGATTCATTTTGAAGTGCTATTCGGTATCAGAGATTACGGGATTGAGATCAGTATAGTGAAAATACCGAGAAATACCAAAAATTAAAAATTAATCAAATATAACATACAACCTTTGGTCATTCCTCACTCTTTCACAACTGAGAAGCCCCTATCCAACTCAATTTTGACTTACAGCTTAAGTCACTCTCGTCTCTCACCTAATCTCTTATAATTTTCATAATACCAAAAGGCAAACACTAATATTAGTCGTCTCTCAGCCTCCAATTCGTCATATTAAAGATTACCAATAACAAGAATTTGAGATGTCACAACTCACAATCTCCTCCATTCTTCTTATCCATATCCAAACTCTAGGCAAACTCAAGACTCTTTGCTAAGTCTCTTTGCCCTAAATTAAATAATTAAATATAATTTATATATTTAATTATAAATTGCCAAGGTAATTAACTTCGTGTTCAATAATACCAATTGGGATACCGAAGTGCCGATTGGGATACCGAAATATTTAGGGATTGGGATACCGAAATTATTTAGAGATTGAGATTGGGATTGATTTTAGGGTGTAATTCGGTATTCGGGATTTTGATATTTGGTATTGGGATACCGATATCGTACCGATTTCCACCCCTAGTTCGACATGCATAAACATAGCCAACACGAGACTCTAAGTAGGTCATATCATAATGAGACAAAACTCGAAACATATTCGACTCGATTTCATCCAAACCGGTTGTTCGCTTGTAATAGGTCTAATTAGAGCACACTCTTAGACATTGTAGCTTTGCATAATTTGAGCCCTACCGATGTGTTCACTTCGACATACATAAACATAGGCAATACCATACGCTCACTAGGTCAAATCATAATGAGACGGAACTCGAAATGGATCTGATCCGATTTCATCCAAATTGGTTGTTTGCTTGTAACTGGTCTAATTAGAGCATACTCATAGACATTCAAGCTTTGTATCAGTAGGATTGAGTTTGTTTCAAGTCGAGGAAGAGGTAGTTGCTCGAGTTGTCTTCTTGAGCAAGGAAATTTTTTTGGGTGTTCGTTGGAGAAGTCTCAGGTGGTACTCCCTCAATATGGAACATGGTTGGCAGTGCTTTTGTAGGCTTCATAGTGTTAGCGTCGACTACAAGGATAACAATCACACATCGAGTTGGAGATGACTCGATTGACACATCCGAGTATGCGGTGACTTGCCACACTGCATGCCTCCTTCTATACAAGGACAACCCTTTGTATATGTTAGCATCACACTACTGCCACATATGTCATCTCCCAGAGGTAGGCTTCATGACGCCTCTTTAAGGTTGGCGATACACTCTCAATCGTATCACCTCTCGAGCTAGATTACACCTTATTTTAAGCTTGGTGTAGCCTCAACATGAAGGGTGTAGCGCCAGAATTACCTCCCCCACCCTCACCAAGAGTGTAGTATCGACTCGTGTAATGTCGTACTACAGGAGATACAAAAGTTATGCCTCGAGCAGCGTGAGAGATCATGCCAAACCAACTCCAAGCTTAAACCTAGGGTTACCTATCTCGAGAGGGGACATAGCCAAGGGTGTTTCGCCAAAATTAAAGAGGTGACATGAAATCTGCTACTAACTAGACTTGGGAGATGACATAGGTGGCAGGAGCGGTCTGATATTTATTTATTTTAGTTGGAACGATAGTATATTTGAACTCGGTTGATTGATATTTTTTGATGAACTCGTTAGTAAGTATTATGCGGTTTCATTAGTACACCACCTACTAGTTTGAAGACGCTTTTCGATGGACAAGCTTTCTCCTTCTCACCTAGCGTTTTTTAGATTGATTTTTATCATCTAATAATCGAGAAGAGTTTCGATACCTGAAATAATAGCAAATTGCGCCTACAATTTTGAAAATTATATTTGAATTGACTATGCCAACTTACACAGTACTAGACTTATGAAAAAGTGTTGTATGCATACTTGTATTGTTGGATAATCTTGGGTGTTTACAATTGATGGGTTAAGCTAATGGTAATTTTTGATATTAAACCACCAGCATAGATCAAACGGTCATAAACAGATAAAGATAATCCGCGATAGATATAGAAATCATTTTCCTATCTATAAAGTAATTGAATATGGAAATTAAACTATCCTTTTATTCAAAATTAGTTTACTACTATAGTTCTCAAACGAATAAGGAATTCACTGTATTAAACTTTTGTTATTTATTAAAAAAATTGTTTGTTTTAATTATTTATTTATTAAGGATTTAAACTATTAGAAAAGATTTATATAACTAAAAGAAAATAAAAATAAAATTTCTCTATGCGTACACAGACAAAGCAAAAGCAATGCCCCTATCTCCCTTGTCCAGCTCCACCCTTTTCTTCTAAGATTTGATTTCTAATTATTTAATCATTTAAAAAAAAACAGGAAAGTTTAAATTGATATTTTGGAGTGAAAATATATATATCCTTTCCCTTTGACGGATACACATTTTTAGGTCTCTCTCATATTCTTTCTCTTTCTCTTTCTCTCATCGTCCCCTCTCTCCCCAATCTCTATCCCTCTCTCATATTTTTTTTCCTCTGCGCAGTTTCATTCTCTCTCCTCTCTCTTCCTTTCTCTCTCCAGCAGAAAGGGCAAAAAAAACCCTAAAGAGCCGTTTGCACCCATCCAGCAGTAAGTTTCTCTCACCTTACCCATCGTCTCTTTCTCTTTCCGTCTCTTCTATCTATTCTCTTTCTTAAATTGTTTTTTTTTTGAATACAATGGGTCCTGTACTATTGAACGACCTGCCTTTTATATTCAGCGCTTTGTGTGTGTGTAAACATCTGATTCAGGGAGTTTCATTTTCGGCCTTCTCGTCCCGTTTTCCACCCGGATCTAGCCTGATTTTTGAAAACCCTAGATTGCGAGGAGGCGGCGCTTAGATATGCTCCGCGGGAATGTGAATGCGATGTAGATCTGGTGATTCGGGTTTCCATTTTGAGGGGATGTGAAAAGTTTTGTTTTGTTTGGGTTCTGTCTGGATTTCGAAAAAATGGAACTGAATCTCGCGCTAAAGGTTTTCGTTTTCGATTCTGGGTGGTTTTCTTTTGGTGTAATGTTGTTTCCCCTGCGAATCTCTCCAATGGGTACTGCTCTGAAGTTAACGATTTGGATCTGAGCGAAATGTAGTACGATATGGGGGTTTTTGGGATTAGGCATTTGGTGCTGAAAGGTTCGATGTGGATATGGGTTGCTTAGAATCGACGGGATCTGAGGTGGGTTGTGAGTAACATGGATAAATCAGGTGTCTTTCTAGTTGAATCTTGTGCATCTAAGACATTTCTTGTAGTGCAGTTGATTTTATTGATGTACAGTTCCACTTCTGTTGAATGTTGATTTTTGTTGGCATTGTATTTATGCAGCTGTGAATGATGGATGATGATGCACTGAACATGCGGAATTGGGGTGGCTACTATGAACCCTCGTTCAGAGGGCATCTCAGTCTGCAGCTCACTACGAGCATGGCGGCTGAACGAGACACCAAGCATTTTCTCCCCGGCCGAGATCCAAACAGCATTATGCTCAATGTGAATGCTGGTGGAGGAGGCTACCATCATCGCGAGTTCATGGTGTCCGATCCCCATGTTCCCATGAACTACATGAGGGACACTTGGATGAATCAGAGGGATACCAAGTTCCCAACTTTGATGTCACACAACCCTAATAACAGCTACGCTGTTCTTCCAGAGAGTTCAGCAGCTCATTCTCTGCAAGCATTACCCCCGCCTAGAGATGACAAAATGTGCAGAATGGAAGAGCCAGTTGTCCTCAAAGAACCGGAGCAGCCAACAAAGAAGAGGCAGGGAAGTGGTGTCCAGAAAACCCCCAAGGCAAAGAAACCGAGGAAGCCAAAGGACCCTAACAGTAACCCTGCCCAGCGTGCAAAGCCTGTCAAGAAGAGCATGGATATGGTTATAAATGGGATCGATATGGACATATCCGGCATTCCTATTCCGGTTTGTTCATGCACGGGGGCTCCTCAGCAATGTTACAGATGGGGGTGTGGCGGATGGCAGTCTGCTTGTTGTACTACTAATGTATCAATGTATCCTTTGCCAATGAGCACCAAGAGACGGGGTGCAAGGATCGCTGGGAGGAAAATGAGCCAGGGCGCATTCAAGAAGGTGTTGGAGAAACTTGCAGCTGAAGGCTATAACTTCAGCAACGCCATTGATTTGAAGAGTCACTGGGCGAAACATGGTACCAACAAGTTTGTTACTATTAGGTAGAAGTTTGCAGAGGGTGCGGGAATGAGTAGCGAACTGACTCCAACAACAACAACCATCGGTTCTGGGTTTCTGGTTCTCCTTGTATGTATATCTGTGGCCTTCTGCAGAGATCTTTTGGAGGTTCATTGTACTTCCATGAGTTTTTCCCAGACATGATACTTGGTTCTTCTTTTGTTTCAGCTAATTTGGAACATTTGTTCTCTCCAGAATTGTTGTCATTTTCATTCCTTTTTGGCGTTCGTTCGTTATTAACTGTTGTTAGTAATTTCTTTGAAGCAGGGATTGTAAGTTTATGAATGAGATTATCAATTTGTTCTTTTTTCATTCATTATCTTTTTGTTCGTCTTTTGCCTTCAGTGACTGATGCTCTCTGAATATACGAGGTTGAATGGTACTTTGTAAGGAACTGTAACCAAACAGCTAATGAATTGCGAAGTTGAACCGGGAAACTCAGTAAATAGGATAATTGTGGTGAAATCGTGATTTAATCATGATTCTTATCGTTTTAACCGATAAGAAGTTTTTCAGTAAATACCACCTAAATCTGCTTATCGGTTTCGCCTTCAATAAGAGATTTTCTCAATTTATGAACACGGATGTCGAAAATATAGACCATGAGGGTAATTTCGTAAAGTTTTACCTTCCCCAACAATACAACGTTGGCCAGGATAAAACGGACTCGTCACTCAGCACACTCTCAATTCTCAAAGCGTCCCTCCGCTCCGCCCTGATTCTCTCACTTGTTTGCATGAATCCGTTCTTCAGTTGAAAACCTCCCCCTAAAATCTAAATCGTTCCCCCAGTCTCTTTCTCGCTCTACTTGGTTCTACTGCTCGCGGAAATGGACAAGGGCAAAGGAATCGCCACCTCCGGCAAGCGGAAGAAAGGCGGGGGCGACGATGACAAGACCGGCGGCGGGATCAAGAAGAGGAACCGCCAGGTCCTTCAGTTCTTCGAGGACGCAGCTGATGTCGACGACGACGATGATGATACCGACTTGAGCGATTTGAATGATCTGAGCGATTTTGATGAGGAAGGTGAATGGACTTCCTTCTTTCTCTTTGGTATTGACCAAATGTGTGTTGCTCAATGCTCTGTGTATTTTTTTTCGTCTTGGGGAAATGGTGTTCGTCTCTACTCTCTGGGGTTTGTTGGTCAGCAATGGTTTGCGCTTCCCTTTCTTTTTCGCTGTAGTTATATTTTAGGGTTCTCAGCGTTTCGTCGTTGGGGGAAATGGAGTTGCGGAAGTTAACATGGATTTCCTCCCCTTGATTGAGTTTGCTGTGTGGTGAACGCATTTGAGAGCTCTGTTCTATGCAATGTGGCTTTTCGGTGCTGGATGAATCAGGTTCAGAGGAACTGCCCTAGGCTAGGAGAGTTGTTCCTTAATTTCGGATTTTCTAAGGGCTTGTTTTGATTCTTTTTGTCTGTTAAAAGTTTTCAACAACGAGCAATGCGCATGCAGCGTTATGGATGACTCCTTGGTTCTATCCTGATGATGGCTTTTGGCATCATAAGATGTTAGAATTATGTTCAAATGGACTTTAGGCTATTGTTGCTTCGGATTTTATATCTCATGTAAAAGATGTTCAATGTTAGGGGTTTGCTTACTTTTTATATTAGTGTTGGAAGGTTCCAAATGTAGGCTATGGTTGACATGCAACCTAGTGAAGCATTTTTGTTTAGTTAGGATCTGCTTCAAGTTGCTTGTGTTGGTTAGGATGCTTGCATAGACCATCAGTAATGCTTGCCTTAAGTTGTATGGTAGAATGTAATTTATCTTCTGTTGCCGTGTCTGTTCGTCTGCAGTGCTGTTATTGGTTTGTTTCCCCCGTGAGGTCTTATATGATATAGGTTAATTTCATTATGCTGCATTCAGTCCATGATTATTTCTTGAGACCGACATCCTTCCGGGTTTGTTTTTGAAGAATTCGATGTAGAGTTGAAAGTAAAGAAGGAACCAGGAAAGGCGCAGAACATCCCTTTCATACCGAAGGAGGAGCAGATGGATGAGGAGGAATTTGATAAGATGATGGAGGACCGGTACAAGGACGGTGCTGGCTTTGTGAGATATGCTGATGATCCTTTTGAGGCTAAATTGATGGAAAGAGATTCTCTTTTGGCTTTAGCTACGGACGCAACCATCTGGAAAGTTAAATGCATGGTACAAGAACATCTGTAATTCAGTGATGTATGTGAAGCTCGTTCCATTTGTCTTGTCTCCGCTAATGTTTGGCTTGAATGTTATTGTAGATTGGGCGTGAAAGACAATCTGCTTTCTGTCTCATGCAAAAGTTCGTGGACTTGAAGTTTCTGGGTACCAAACTGGAGATAATATCCGCTTTTTCTGTTGACCACGTGAAGGGTTATATTTACATTGAAGCTGAACGACAATGTGATATTGTTGAGGTAGTTTATCTGCTATCTTTTCATAAATTTGCTTTCTCTTCCTTTCTCCTTCACTTCCCCTTTAATCATGCATGTTTCTACTTGTCCTTTACACAGGCTTGCAACGGGCTTTCAGGAATATACACTTCCCGAGTGACGACAGTTCCAGCCAATGAAGTTTCGCATTTGATATCTGTTCGGTGCAAAAAGAGTCAAGTAACTAAGGGCATGTGGGCCCGTGTCAAGTCTGGGAATTATAAAGGAGACCTGGCGCAGGTTTTTAATTTAGTTATTATTTGCTTAAACTCCTTTCTGTAATGCCTTTCTACCCTTTTTTCATTTGCCCTTTTGTCTTCTTGAAGATTGTTGGGGTAAATGATGAACGCAAAAGGGCCGTGGTGAAGATTATACCTAGAATTGATGTGCATGCTCTGGCTGAAAAATATGTAAGTTTTATTTCTTCTGATTGTCTTTGATTTGCTGTGTTTTCTTTGTCTTATGCAATTTCGTTGTTTATCTATGTTGATGGGTCTGCTGGGTGGCCAAGGAAAGGTTCACCTTCATCTTTTTGGGAAAGTTCTTTTGATTGCTAATGCGCAGGATTTAGTTTGTTTCTTTTCACTTCTGCTTTACTTTTAATGGTACAATTTAACTTCACAAAATCATTATTTCGTTAGTCTTACCTGACTTAATTCTTCAAAGTTCTGCAATGCTAAAATGAGCCTGAAAGACTTATCATTCTTCAATGAATGATATTGTCGGGGCCGGGAGAGTCTGGTCTGTAAGTAATAATCTAGTGGAAAGATATCTGAAACTTGCACTGTACAGTGGGAAAAGCTGGTTGCTAGTTAGTTTTGTTGCATTAACTGAAGGGGACTGTCCTCTCTATTGTATATAATATGTTAATATGTGACAGTAGCCTTTATGTTAGCTGCAAGATGAAGTGGGTTTTCCCCTTTTCCAATTACGGAGAAACTCTCCATCATGTGATCCTCAAGTGGTGCTATTTAATTCTACAGGGTGGTGGAAAGGCTCCTAAGCGAACTGATGTACCAGCTCCAAGGCTGATCAACTCTAATGAACTTGAGTAATATCCTTCTCCTTGTACTCATAAGTGTCGATGTTTCTCCAATTTCATGACTTCTACTTAAAAAGTTTTTCCGTGGTTATTTGTGATAGGGAGTTCCGGCCTCTTATCCAGTACAGACGTGACCGTGACACCGGCATGATGTTTGAGATTCTTGATGGATTGATGCTTAAAGATGGGTTCCTGTACAAGAAAGTACCTTTGGACTCCTTAAACTGCTGGAGTGTGATGCCAACGAAAGAAGAGTTAATGAAGTTTGAATCCTCAGAGAAAAATGATTCTGGTAACTTAGAATGGCTTACACAGATTTATGGAGGTAAAAAGAAAAAACAAGTAATTAGGAATGAGAAAGGTGGGGAAAAGGGAGAAAGTTCGTCTGGGACTGGAGGTCAAGCAAACTTTGAGCTATATGATTTTGTGTGCTTTCGGTAAGTTCTTTACCATAAGTTTGATAGCTGGCTTGCAAATTCTCTCCTTAATTACAAGTTTGTATTGCAGGCGCAAAGACTTTGGTATTGTTGTTGGAATGGAGAAGGATGGTAATTGCAAGGTGTGTTGTCTCTTGTCTGTTTTCTTTAACCTATCTACAAATTTGCAATCCAACTTCCAACTATATGTAGAACATGCAGCTGATTCGTGCTTTTTCTTATTCGCCACTTATATTTGTTTTTTTTCCTCCAGATTCTAAAACAGGGAACAGAAGAACCGGTTGTGGTGATCGTGGAACAGAAGGAAGCAAAGATTGGGCCTTCAGAAATGAAATTTACAGCTTTTGATCAACACAAGAAGGTCATCTCACACAATGATACAGTCAGGGTCTTGGAGGGTCCATTGAAGGTTGAGTGACTAGCATTTCCTTTAGTCGTTAGATGTCATACAGAACACAGGTCATAAACGGAAATTTTACATTTGCAGGACAGGGAAGGAATTGTTAGGCAAATCTATCGAGGAATTGTCTTTATATATGATCAGAACGAGACTGAAAATGGCGGTTACTTTTGCTCAAGAGCTCAAATGTGTGAAAAAGTCAAGATTCATTCAGAGAAATTCGATGATAAGGCTGTGAGTCCGAAGCCCTTGTCATTTGTTTAATGTTATGGTTTCCGTTTCTCTAGCTGATCTTGTTGGTCATTTCAGGGTGGTGAATCCAGCTTTGGGGTCTTTGGAGGTTTTGATGATGCCCCATCATCTCCAAAATCTCCCTCATCGCCTAAAACATCATTTCAAGCAAAGGAAAGTAATTGTATGTCTGCAAGCGTCAAAGTTCTAGTAATTCTATGCCTTAATTTCAACTATTTTATGTTATCTCTAATTTTTACTGTTTTTTCCCCAGTCAACCGAGGGGACAGGGAAAGTGCGTTCTCCATTGGTCAGAGCTTGAGGATCAAGGTAGGACCTCTCAAGGGCTACCTTTGCCGTGTATTGGCTGTACGCCGCTTTGATGTTACAGTGAAACTAGATTCCAAGCCGAAAGTTCTTACAAGTAACATTTTGACCTTGCACTGAGTTTTTAATAAAGCAGCAATTAGCTGTAAAACGTTGATGATCATTTTCATTTCCTCAGTTAAATGTGAGAATCTTTCCGAGGTCCGTGGGAGGAGTTATGCTGTTTTGGGCAGGTGCTGCTCTTCTTATGCCTCCCTACTGATTTATTTCACATAATATATACCTTCTTTTGACAGTTCACATGATATATACTTTGGGTTCATTTTGATGATGGTCTTTGGGGTTGTGGATTCTATTGCATAGTGAGGACGCAGGTGCTGACTCTTTGAAACCTTTTGATCCAATTGGGGCTGATGGTGGTTCTGGAGGTGAGGATACCCTGTGTAGTGAGAATATGCTTTAATGATTTCGAGATTACCCTGTGTGTGATTGCCTTTTATCTGCTTGCTGTGTAGAAGAACAAATATTGCTTACCCGCTAGGCATCTTAAGGTTGTCAGTTGTAATATTGACAGTTTTAATGACCCCAAGCAATTTGATGAAGTTGTCAGAAGTAACATTTGATGCCCTAAACAAATGTCCTAGAAATTGCAGAACATATCTAACTACATTGCTCTAAACAGCTTGCATTTAATTCATTTTTTTTTTTACTTTTGTTTTGTTTCTGGTCCCATTTTACTGTATGTTATTAGATACAATTGTTGACATTACATGTTATGGAGATTTGAGATGACTATGAGTTAATAGTCTAGTTCCTCTCGCAGGTTGGTCAAATGGGGCTGGAACATCGGGTGAAGCTGATGGATGGAATATTGGGGGGCTGTCTGCAGAGAGGTAAATTTTTATTGATGAATTTAATTTTTGGGCAAGGAATGCTTTAGCTATGTGTTGCCTATGGCACCAGGTTGATTTTTCTTGAATATGTGGATTACTGATTCGGACTGAAAGGACTTATTGGCCTTTTTTTATGGAAGTCTGCTTAAGAGATTGGCGTCAAAATCTTGTCATCATTTATTAAAATTACTAGTAGTCCTTCTATCCACTTTATAATTTGAAGTAGAAGGTTTTCATTCTTGATCATTAGCTTTTCTGGAGCTATGAGTGTGTGTCTGTCTGAAGAATCAAGCTTGATGTCTCAATTAACATAAGGTCTTCCCCTGGTTGGCCTTGTTTTGTGCACCAAACTGGCACACTTTTGAGTTTGTGTTACATGGGTGGTAGAGTTGTGTTGCCTGTGTAGTGAAACCGGAGTTCCTATTTATCCTCCATTTCATTGCTTGCAGTTTGCCAAGTATCTGCATAAATAATGTTCTATAGTCTCTATGATATGTCTTGCGTAAACTAGATTATAGAACTTGTTTACTTGTGTACATAATCTGTCATATGGAAAATGGCTTTCATCATATCAATTTCATATTCATTTTACATTCCCTTTATAACATAATACAAAAGGCATTGTCATTATGCATTCCTTCATATGGGGATTTTTACTGCATCAGCATGGCGCTCTTCTTCTATTTTAGTTTCTCTTCAGAAATGTTTTTTTTTCTGGAATGCTGAAGACTGCTCTTATCTTAAATTTGTGCGTTCTTTCAGGAGTGCCTAGCCCAGCTTCTCTGCTCAGAAGGTTAGCCCTCTGAACTTCCTCGAAACATGGCTTATTTCGCCATGTTCCTTTTCTCTTTTCTTTCTGTAACTATGAGCCAGAGTGGTAATTTAAAAGTTATTGTGGTTGCAGCTTCCAACAGAGTCTGATCTTGCTGGTCCATCAAATTCTCAAGAGCAAGGTACTTTCCTATGGCTTTCTTTATGCAGGGGAGTTTTGGAATTAGTATATTGAGCTTCTATACAATTGTCTAGGTACAGAAGATGCTGCGTGGGAGAAGAAACCGACTGGTAATCAGAATTCTTCCTGGGGCGCAGCCACTACTGATGACAAAGCCATAACAAACAATGCTGATCAAGCTTGTGGATGGGGAAATAATAGTGATGCTTCTGTCAAAGCTTCAACTGACGTCAGTGGCAGTGGAGCGTCTGACAGCTGGGGTAAAGCACTTGAAAAGAAAGTGACTGCAAATCAGATTTCTTCATGGGGTGCAGCTGCAAGTGATGAAAAGATAATTGACAAGAGTGAAGCTTCTGGTTGGGGGAACAGTGGAGATGGCTTGAAAAGATCTACTGCTGTAATTGGTCCTAGCAGTGGAGCATCAGATGACTGGGGTAAAGCTCTTAAATCATGTCAAGATCCAGTTGATGCCGCTTCCACCTGGGACAAAGGGAAGAATGTTGATGGAAACCCAACCAGCAGTTGGGGTGGTGGTAGTTCCTGGGGTAAAGCAAAAGATGATGCTGGTAATGGAGGACCATTCGAGAAGAATAAGAGCTTGGATGGAGGTGAGGGTGGCTGGAATGTTAAAGTTGCTGCAGCTGACAGCCTGCCCTCTGGTTGGGGCAAACAAAGCAGTTGGAGTAATCCTCAGTCTTCTCAAGGGAACTCTAATTGGAACCAGAAAACGTCTGAAGCTGGTAAAGAGAAAGAGAGTAGGGAGCATGGAGAAACTTGGAAGGGTGGGGATGGAACGGCAAGCTGGGACACTAAAGCAGTTAACTCCAATGACTCCCAGCCCTCTGGGTGGGGCAGCAAAAATGGGTCGGGCAATCCTCAATCCGATCAAGATAGTGCGGGTTGGAATCAGAAAGCCTCTTACCCGGAGGAGAAGAACGATGTGGCGGAGCAAGGAAATGATACTAACAGTTCTGGTTGGAATCATAAAAGCAATTGGAACTCTAAATCTTGTGATGGCTCCTCTAGCCAGGGAAAGAAGAGTGATTGGAATTCTGGGTCTGCTGCTGCTGCTGGGAATGCAGGAGACTCTACATGGGGTAAAAAAGCTGAGTGGAACTCTGGCCCCGGTTCTAATGATGCCAACAAAGGTTCCAGTTGGGGGAAGACGAGCAATTCTAACTCTGCCTCTGCTGATACTGGTGGGAGTAAGAAAAATGGCTGGAATTCTGTTTCTAATGATACCAACAATCAGGGGGGTTCCAGCTGGGGAAAGACCAATTGGAATTCTGGGTCAGGTGCTGGTGGGAGTGCAGAAGACTCAGAATGGGGTAAGAAAGCTAACTGGAATAATAATTCTAATGATGCCAACGACCATGGGGGTGCCAGTTGGGGAAAGAAACCTGTTGATGCTGCATGTGGCATTGGAGAGGAAGCTGGTGGAAATGCAGGGTCCTCGTGGGGTAAAAAGGCTAGCTGGGGCGCTGGTACTAATGACAATACCAACCAAGGGGGTTCTAGTTGGGGAAAGGCCAGCAACTGGAACTCTGGATCTGTTGAGGAAGATGATGGAAATGCGGGATCCTCATGGGGTAAAAAGGCTAGCTGGGGCTCGGGTTCTAACGACACTGCCAACCAAGGGGGTTCTAGTTGGGGAAAGACGAGCAACTGGAACTCTGGTGCTGGTGATGCATCAGGTGGTGGGAACACAAACTCCTCTACTTGGGGAAATAAAAAGAGTGACTGGAATTCTGGTTCAAATGATAATGCCAACAACCAGGATTCTTCGGGATGGGGTGGCAGAAAGGTGGGAAGCTGGAACTCGGGAGCTGCCGTGGGAGACACAAACCAGGAAGATGGCAACAATAGCCGTGGGAACTGGAGGGGTGGTTATGGAGGTAGAGGTGATTCGGATAGAGGGGGTAGCTTTAGAGGCAGAGGAGGGGATAGAGGAGGTTTCCGGGGTAGAGGTGAGAGAGGAGACTTTGGAGGTAGAGGGGAGAGAGGAGGTTTCATGGGTGGTAGAGGAGGGGAAAGAGGTGGCGGTGGGTTTGGAGGTAGAGGACGAGGCAGGTTTGAGAGTGGAGGTGGTAATGGTGATTCCGAGAGTGGAGGTTTTGGGGGCAGAGGTAGAGGGAGGGGAAGGTGGGGGGATCAAGGAGGTGGTAGCAGCAGCTGGAATGATGGCAACAATTTTGGTGGTGGTGGCGGCGGAGGATGGAAAAGCAACAATGAAGCAGGAGGCGGCGGTAGGGGTTGGAACTATGGTGGAGGTCAGGATAAGAAGGAATTGAAGAGCAGTTGGGGTTCTGGAAATAAGAACGAAACAACAGGTGGTGGTGGGTGGAGTGGGAGCGGGGGCGAGGATAAGAAGGAATGGAAGAACAGCTGGGGTTCTGGAAGTAAGAACGAAACAGCAGGTGTTGCTGAGAGTGGAGGCGAGGAGAAGAAAGAATGGAAGAGCAGTTGGGGTTCTGGAAGTAAGAACGAAACAACCGGTGCTAGTTGGGGTTCTGGAAGTAAGAATGAAACTGCAGGTGCTGCTGGGGGGAGTGCTCAAGGAGGAGGAGGTTCTGGTTCTGGATGGGGCCAGTGGGGAAAGGCTCAAGCTGACAAATCGGGTGAATCATCGTCTATTTTAGGGCAGTACAAGGGTCAAGGAGGAGGATCAGAAGATGGAAATGGTCAATCCAGTGTGGGTTGGGGTGAGAGTTTATCGGGTTGGGGCGGCAACAAAGATGTAGCAGCAGCAACTGAAGATCAAAATGATGCATGGGGAAAAAAGCCATCCACAGGTGGCAGCTCTTGGGGTAACAAGGATGGTGGGAGTAAAGGAGGGTGGTAACTGGTAAGGGAGGTTTGTTAAGTGTCTCGGGTTTGGTTCTAATCTGTAAATAAAATTCTCTAGGTTATCTATCTAATGTCTGAATAGCAGAACAACACTCTTACTCTTTTATGGCTGATTTTGAGTTCTTGAGGTACCACCAGCAAATGTGCAATTCCAGATTGGCAGAAGAAGAAGACGATGGCCAGAACCACCTCCCCCGTGTGCAGTAAGTTAACTTTCAGCGGAGGTGTTAGTTGATTACCATAGATATTGTGCCTTCTTCTTCTTCAAATTGTTTTGTTATCACAGATTTGACACTGCTGGGCGTTTCCATATACGTTTGTAATTACCCTTCCCCTGTTAATGTTGACAGCGTGGTGTAGTAATAACTTTTAATACATGCCACCAGCAGGGTTCGTTTCCTCTATTCTGGGTTTGATAGAAATTTTCGAGATCGGTGGATCATGTTTCGGTCAATTACATTACTCCGGACTGTTTGTTACCCTTACTACAGTAACTTCAGTTGGGAGAGCTGTTGAATACCAAGACCTATAATAAGTAAGCCAAGCTCGAATTTGGTTGGCCAGAGTTTGAAGTCGATCCGAGTCCAGTTTGGTTTAATCCGATGTAATCCGAGTTAATTCACAGCTATATTTTTTCAACCCCAGTCTGTTTGTACGGTTCAATCGCCATTGTGAAGTCTCCAGTTCTGAAGGAGTGAAAGCAAAGACTAGTAGGGAAAATGGTGTGTAATTAGACAATGATAGATTTATATCTTCTACAGAAGCTTTCCATCGGCTAAATTACATGTTTGGTCACCTAAATTATACAAATCTTTCATGTTTGCCACCCGAATTACTTTTCTTTCATATTAACCACTAACTTTATGAATCGTTTCACAGTTAGTCACCGACCGTTACACACCGTTAAATTTGTCCTATGTGGCAGTCAACTATAAAGTTTGACCGTTAACTAGATGACGTGGAAATTAAAAAAAATTAAAAAATTAATTTATTTTTCTACCTCATCATTCCACATAATTTGTCTATATGATTTATAATTTATCATATTAATTATTTAATAAAAATTAATAAATTGCAAAAATTAATAAGTGACTTACATCCTTGCTCCCAACTCCATTCAAATCCCAATCCTCTACATCTCTCTTGTCCCTCGGCGTCGTCCTCTAGCTTACCAATCCCGCGAGCTCGCGTTGTCCGGGAAGAAGACGTGTCGTTGAAAACCAAAGCAAAAAAAGAACTCCAAAAATTTCTACCCGCGTCAATACTACTACCCTGCCATGCCTTCTCGTTCTCCCACACCGCCGGTGCGAAAGGTGGTATGGGTCCCAGTCCACTTTGTCGACTCCTGTTCTCCGGCTCCACAGATCGGACTCGACCGCGAAGAAATTCGGAAGGCGTGAAGAGATACCAAGGAGCGAGTCGTCCAGAAGGCCATCGCATTGCACGAGTTCGTCGATTCAATTGTGATTCGGGAGTTGAAAAATCACGAATCCCTAGAATCACCAGCTACAATTGAAGCTAAAGACAACGCCTTCAGCGATTCGGCGTCCGACTCTCCCGATCAACCTGAAAATCCTAGGGAGCATAACGACAAGCAGGCCGAGAGCCAATCGCAGTCGATGGAGGATCTGCAAAGTTGGACTCTGGTGAAAGGAGAAGAAGAAGAAGAAGAAGAAGCATGTGGCCGAGGGGAGCTGGTACTTGACAGCGACGGTAGGGAGGCCGTAGAGCTTGGCGATCTTGGAGACGACATAGGAGAAGCTCAACGATCGGTGGACGACGACCATCTGAGGTCTCTCCGCCGACCTAGCGGAGGAGTTTGTCGTGCGGGCTGATAAATAATATTGTAACTTATTAAATTTTATTAAATAAACAATATGATAAATTAAATGAAATGATGAGTTGGATAAATAAATTTTTTTTATTTTTTTAGTTTCCACGTCATCTAGTTAACGGTCAAACTTTATAGTTGACTGCCACATAGGACAAATTTAACGGTGTGTAACGGTCGGTGACTAACGGTGAAACGATTCATAAAGTTAGTGGCAAATATGAAAGAAAAGTAATTCGGGTGGCAAACGTGAAAGATTTGTATAATTTAAGTGACCAAACGTGTAATTTAGCCCTTTCCATCAATCAACAATTTAACATTACACAAGCAGAAAAAGAGTAAACTGTTTGGCCCACTTCTACCCTATATTAATAGGCCTCAGTTTGGGCCACCATTTCCGGCCTGTCCCATACAAAAATTATGAGAATCGATCCAATAACAAAACAATAATAAAAACTATTTTTTTTAATTTTTTTGTTTCCATCTGCTATGTTATACAAGAATAATAACTATACAATGATTGAAAATGTACATACCATATTGGCCCTATTACCATTTTGATGATAAAGTGATAAAAATGAGAATAAAAAAATTTGGATCGATCTGTGCTATAATTTCATTCTCATCTGGATCATCGTTCGTCTTCCGTATTTGATGATAAAGTGATAAAAATGAGAATCACGATCCACCTTGCGACCGAGGAGAATAATAATTATACAATGATTGTTGATGTACATGCCAAATTGGCACATTCGCTACGGTGTCAAACTTTAAGTTGACATTTCATAGTGGATAGATACAGTTCCAACTTCCAAATTTAATGTCATAAATGAAAATGACATTTGAAGACATTTTCTTGTTCAGTTTGTCGCCATAACTTTTTTGCATGTAATTATACTGCCATTTGTAAGAAAATAATTATGGCTAGATTCTCTCCATGCACTATCTTTCTTCATTCACAATCATTAGCCCTTGAAGCAAAGTCTCGTCTATCCTTCCGGAATGTATGAATTAGAAGACCCTCCCCCGGAGTTCGAAGGATTATCGAAGAAGACATCTTGGGGGTCAGCTTCCCTAGACAAGTGATTCTGAGAAGCCCCCCTGATGCCGGTATGGCTTTCTAGCAGCTTTTGTTGTCCCTGTTCGACCTCTGGAAGCGGCACGACCAGTTGGCCTTAAGCTCCTGAGTCTTTGATGTATTCTTGTTGTTCAAACCCTCGTTTCAATAGAAAAAAAGTAATTGCCTGGTCACCTTAACGTTTGTTGATTTTCCTATATAAAGTACTATGAATCTCCATCCCGTTTTCTTCTTTACATCCTTCTCCAAAGCTTAGCCATTTCCTCCCAAACCAATAATTCCATATGGCTTTCTTCGGTGCATTGAACTAGATATCATTCAATTCAACTCTCGAATGTATCGCCCCAAACCAAGATTCGATCGATTCTTGTCATGATGGCCCACTCCTCAGCCTCAGACTTGCTTGTTCGAATATTTCCACGACAATTCCGCTCAGTGAGAAAGAGTATTCGAGCACTTTTATATCAGGTCATTTCGGTGTCAACATATTCATCACAAAGGCCAAGAAAATGTATGTTACAACATTCAAATTCGGAGCACGCAATCAGATGAATATGCGCCGTACGCTAAAACAAAATACTCTTTCTGAAAGCTGTTAGGCCCACTTCTACCCTATTAACGGGCCTCAGTATGGGCCACCATTTTCGGCCTATCCCATGTACAAAAATAATGGGAATAGATTTAATAACAAAATAATAATAAAAAATTAAATTTCTATTTTTTAACCTTTTTCCCCGTTGTTATGTTATACAAGAATAATAACTATACTATGGTTTAAAATGTCCATACCACATTGGCCCTATTACTGTTACTTCTATGATTTGGATCGATATGTTCTATAATTTCATGCTTATCTTGACCATAGTTCATCTTCCGCATTTGATGGTAAAATGATAAAAATGTGAATCCCGATTCACCGCGCGACAGAGGAGAATACAATGATTGTTAGTGTACATGACACATTGACACATTCATTATGGTATCAAACTTCAAGTTGACATTTCATAGTGGATAGATATGTTTCCCACTTGACCATTGTTCGCCCTGAACCAAGATTAGGAATCGATTCTTGTAATGATAGCCCACTCCTCAGCCTCGGACTTGCTTGATCGAATATTCACACGACAATTCCACTCGGAGAGAAAGAGCATTCATGCACTTTTATGTCAGGTCAGTTCAGTGTCAACAAATTCATCACAAAGGCCAAGGAAATGTATGTTACAATTTACAACATACAAATTCGGAGCACGCAATCACATGAATATGCCCCATACGCTAAAACAAAGTTATCTTTCTGAAAGCTGTTAGGCCCACTTCTACCCTATTAACGGGCCTCAGTTTGGGCACCATTGTCGGCATGTCCTATGTACAAAAATCATGTGAATCGATCCAACAACAACATAATAATAAAAATCAATTTTTTTTAACTTTTGTTTCCAGCTGTTACGTTATACAAGAATAATACCTATACAATGGTTGAAAATGTGCATACCACATTTGCCCTATTACCGTTACTTCTATGATTTGGATTGATCTGTGGAATAATTTCATGCTCATTTTGATCCTCATTCGTTTTTCGCATTTGATGATAAAACGATAAAAATGCGAATCATGATCCACCTCGCGACAGAGGAAAATAGTAACTATACATTGATTGTTAATGTTTATGTCACATTCGCATATTCACTATGGTATCAAACTTTAAGTTGACATTTCATAAGGATAGGTACGGTTCAACATCCAAATTTAATGTCATAAATGAAATTTGAAGGCGTTTTCTTGTTCAGTTTGTCGCCATAACTTTTTTGCGTGGAATTATGTTGCCATTTGTAAGAAAATAATTATGTTACCTTAATGCTTGTCGATTTTCCAATATAAAGCACTATGAAATTAAGTATTTTCTTCTTTACATCCTTCTCCAAAAGGTTAGCCATTTCCTACCTAACCAATCCTTAGATATGGCTTTCTTTGGTGCATTGAAGTCGATATCATTCAATTCATCTCCCGAAGGTTTCCCCCAAACCAAGATTCGATCGATTCTTGTAACGATAGCCCACTCTTCATCCTCGGAATTGCTTGTTTGAGTATACCCACGACAATTCCACTCGGCGAGAAAGAGCATTAGAGCACTTTTATATTTGGTCAGTTCGTTGTCAAATTCATCACAAAGGCCAAAAAATGTATGTTACAACATACAAATTCAGAGCATGCAATCACATTAATATGCCCCGTACACTGAAACAAAATTCTCTTTCTGAAAGCAGTTAGGCCTACTTCTACCCTATCAACGGGCCTCAGTCTGGGCCCCCATTCTCGGCTTGTCCCATGTACAAGAATCATGAGAATAGATCCAATAACAAGATAATAATAATAAATCAATAATTTTTTTTACTTTTGTTTACAGCTGTTATGTTATACAAGAATAATACCTATGCAATGGTTGAAAATGTGCATACTACATTGACCCTATTACTGTTACTTCTATGATTTGGAATGATCTATGCCATAATTTCATGATCATTTTGATCATCGTTCGTCTTCCGCATTTGATGGCAAACTGATAAAAATGCGAATCACGATCTACCTCGCGACCGAGGAGAATAATGACTATAGAATGTTTGTTAATGTACATGCCACATTGGCACATTCACTATGGTATCAAACTTCAAATTTGACATTTCATAGTGGATAGATACGGTTCTAACTTCCAAATTTAATGTCATAAATGACATTTGAAGGCGTTTTCTAGTTCAGTTTGTCGCCATAACTTTTTTACATGGAATTATATTTCCAATTGTAAGAAAATAATTATGACTTGATTCTCTCCATGTACTATCTTTCTTCATTAACAATCACCTTCCCTATACAGGTGATTCAGAGAAGCCCATGATGGAGAGAGTTTTATATCCTTCTCGGGTCATTGCCGGTATGGCTTTCTAGCAAACTTTGTTGTCCCTATTCGACCTTTGGACGCGACACGACCAATTGGCCTTAAGCTCCCGAGTCTTTGAAATTATGTATTTTCTCCATCAAGTTTTACATCTTTACATCCTTCTCCAAAAGCTTAGCCATTTCCTCCCAAAACAATCTTTTGATATGGTTTTCTTCGGTGCATTTAACTCGATATCATTCAATTCAACTTCCGAAGGAATCACCCCAAACAAAGATTCGATTGATTCTTGTAACGATGCCCCATTACTCAGCCTCGAACTTGCTTGTTTGAATATTCCCTTGACATTCCACTAGGCAAAAAAGATCATTCGAGCACTTTTATATCTGGTCAATTCGGTGTCAACAAATTCATCACAAAGGCCAAGAAAATGTATGTTACAACATACAAATTCGGAGCTCGTAATCACATGAATATGCCCCGTACGCTGAAACAAAATATTCTTTCTGAAAGCAGTTAGTCCCACTTCTACCCTATCAACGGGCCTCAGTTTGGGCCACCATTTTGGGCCTGTCCCATGTACAAGAATCATGGGAATAGATCCAATAACAAAATAATTATATATAAATCAATTTTTTTTAATTTTTGTTTCCAGCTATTATGTTATACAAGCATAATACTATACAATGGTTGAAAATATGCATACCACATTGACCCTATTACCGTTATTTATATGATATGGATTGATCTATGCCATAATTTCATGATCATTTTGATCATCGTTCGTCTTCCGCATTTGATGGTGAACCGATAAAAATGCGAATCACGATCCAACTCGCGACCGAGGAGAATTATGACTATAGAATGATTGTTAATGTACATGCCACATTGGCATATTTACTATGGTATCAAACTTTAAATTTGACATTTCATAGTGGATTGATACGGTTCCAACTTCCAAATTTAAGTCATAAATGACATTTGAAAGCGT